GTAAGTCATGCACATTGACTTCTGCTGTCAATGTTTAGAAAAAAAACTGTTGTTAATAAAGAAAGAAAATGTCCACTTTGTGCAAAATGTCTTTCTTGTTTAAAGATTAAATCTTAAGCTTACATTGGAAGTGTTCTGCTAAAAGAGGAAGTGAGGTCATACATTCATATGAGCATTGGGAGGGTGCAACAGGCACGAAGTAGCACGGGTCATGTTGGTTCACTACGTGAACCAACATAGTGAACCAACATACAGATAAGTCTGTGTTTATCAAAATACAGTTTTGAAGAGCACATCTGATTTCTTAAGAAAAACAAAATTATCTTTACCAGAACTGTTTTAAGTCAGGCAGATTTTCAACAGCCACTGCATCTGAAGCAGATTTAAGTCCAGAATTTGACTAGGCCACTCTACAAGTTTTTTTTTTTTTTTTTTTTTTTGCCATTCAAAGGTGGATTTTATGGTGTGTTTTGGACATTCTCCTTCAGCATTCTTTGCATTTTGAAAGCAAAGCAGTCCCAGATCATCATCCTGCAATCAGCATGTTTTCCTGTCAGCATATTGTTTTTTTTTTGTTTTGTTTTTTTGGAAAAGGCTCTGTAAGTTTTACATTTAACAAGAATGTAACTAGAGGTCCACTCTCCAGAATGTTTTTTTTTTTGTGTCTATAAAGACCTCAGATTATTTCCCAAAAAGATTTTGAGATCATTAAGATTCTGTTTGTGATAAATGTGAGATGTTTTTTTTATTATTATTTTGTCTTGAAACTCTTCTCTTTTTTTGCCCAGTTTCTTTTTGGGCAAAAACATTTGCCTTAATTAAGGCCTGCAGTACTTTAGACGCTGTCCTGGACTTTTATAATCTCATCTATGAGTTGCTAATTCACTCAGAGTAATTGTAGAAGGCCAGCTTGTTCTATGAAGTTTCTCCACTGTTCCTATATTTGCTTCTTTTGTAAATAATGGTACTCACTGTGATTCACCAAAGACCAACCTATTAAAAATAGCTTTGGAGCAATTTCCTATCTGTTTAAAAATTTTTTACTTAATTTCATCAGACAGGCTCTATTTAAGTGATTCTACAGGTTAGAAAGCAATCAAGCCCGGGTGTGACAAGTAAAACTGTTGCACCCAAAACTCAGCTTTAAAATTTTGGTTATTGACAGTTAATTCTTGGTTTCAGCACCAGATTGGTTTGGACATGTTTTCTTTCTTCTTAATGCTTAGCCATTCAAAAATTGTTTGTTCTGTATTTACACAAGGTGTATTTGTGGAACACTGATGTTTGTCTGATGATATAAAACATTTAATTGTGACAAGAAAGCAGAATAAATCTGTAAGAGGACAAATACTGTTTTCTCGGCCCGTCCAGCCTGAGGAAAATGTGTGAGACTCACATACTCATATTCTCTACAATTACAATTACAATCATGAAACAACATATTACAGTTATGACGGTGCATACTCTTTATTTTCTCCACCTTCGACTGATGCACAAACCATGAACAGCAGCTCCTGGGGTAAATTATCCTAAATATTCAATTAATCTATGACATATGTCTGTGTAAAATGTAGATAAACAGCTACGTTAAAATGTGAAGATGATCTAAGTCCATCCACCTATCTATACTCCATACCAGCTGGAGATAGTGCCTATCTCCAGCAATCATTGTTTAAGAGTTGAGAGATATCCTGGACAGCTTGCCAGTTACAGTTACCAGTTACAATGGAAACTCTCTCCTCTGAGCAGCTTAGTAACCTATTAACCAAACAGTCTTGCTTTTTGGACTGTGGATGCCAGAGTTCCAAGTCAGAACACACACATGCTAATGGAGAACATGCAAACTCCATACAAGAAGACCTTAACTTTAAATGTTGATATCAAATGTAGGCATCTCTCGTTGAGTCTGCTTTATAAAATAAATGCATTGCATGACTTTCACCACCAGCATGACTTTAGTCATCTGGAAACCTAGGAGACCAGTCATTATAGTAATTTAGCAATGCTTTTTGGCAATTTTATATTTCCCCTTTCATGCCTGATATTAAATTGCATTCACATAAAAATATATTGTTAGGGTTTTCTTTTCTAATTCAATGTGTCAAATGTTGTGGCACCATTGCAGATCTGGATGTTGGAGCAGTATTTTGAGGACTTAATCTAACGTCTTAAGTAAATTTAAGATGCAATAAGAAACTCTTTTCACAGCCAGTTTATAATATGTTGCATAGAAAATTATTTTGTTTTGAGATAAATACTAATACATTTATGTTTCATTTTTTCATTTGGAATGTTGTTTAGTTGTTACTACTATTAAGTAAATCTAGAGAACAATAAAGAATAAAGCAAACCACTTCTTCCTGTTGTAATGTTTACATGGGAAGGCAACTTCACACTGTAAATTGCAGAAATAAATCTTCATTCTGATACTGTTGTATCTGAAATCAGCTCGTCATAATCACGTCTCAATTTATAATCTCTGTTCTTTGGATTTCATTAGTGCTTTACTTTGCTAACACCAACATAACCTAGACCAAGTGAAACTAATCTTTAGTTTCACAGATCTTCTTTTCCAACTCAAAAGGTTTTTTGTTCATATATTATAAGAATTTGACTTTCTGCTGGTGGCTGTGTGATTTAAACAAATACTGTATGTATTACTCCTGAAGATTGGGGGTTTTTGTCCCCAGCCCTTTGGGACTGTTGAAAGAATGGTGAAACTCTTGCTTTCCGGTCCTGTGTGCTTTCATATAAAATGTGTTGCTCAACTTCCCCTTGAGGCCAGCTACCCAGGCAGGCACCAGTCGCCCGCCTTGTAGACAGGCACTTCAGAAGAACATTGAATTATTTGTGAACATTTGAACAAAATGACCAATTATTGATCGCTTTCAAAAATCCTGATCAGTAGTTATAAAATTTTCAGAAGAAACTGAGATAGGAAGTGGAAAAAGTAATAGAAATATTGGTAAACATGTCTACCTTCACTTAATTTAAGTCTCAATTGATTTTGTTTTCCTAGCGCTGTGTTTCCTGATCAGCTGGTGTGCTACCAGAACTTACACAATTCCTTGAGTCTGTGCAGATCTCTATAATCTAGTTTGTTTTTATGTGCAGTAAGGGTGTGTTCTTCAGCTACTCACCAGCACCACATTGAAGCGCTCCTCCAGCTCCTCTTCTGGGGGCATTGGAAGTTTTGGTGAAGAAGATTGCCTCTTCTGCAAAGACAGTGTGGGGTCGCTCATCGCCGAAACTGAGTTCCTGGCCTCTCTGCCTTCGGCCGCCTCTAGCTCCAAGCCCCCTGCGGCCGCATTCCCCATCACTAATCTCCACAAGTAATCCAGGGGGAAAGCTGTACACAAACCAATTCACCAAAAAAATCTGACTGTTCCACAGCAGAGTAGGGAAAGGTGATCACTCCAAATGACAAGAGAGAGAGAGTCCTGGTCCTTCAAGGTGATGAACATTAAGTCTCCTGCTCACTAAAATCTTGCTTGTCCAGATGACACAAGAGGTGAAGAAAAAGGTTGGGTTGTCCTCATGTTTGCTCTCTGATTAACATCTCTAGATACAAGATTAAAAAAAAACAGTCAGGTCTGGACAGAACTGAGAAATAAAACCTAGCCTGTGTCTCACCAACTATCTGCACGGGTTGAAAACTTCTCTGCAGAGTAAAACTCAGAGGCCTGTGTGTGAGAGGAAGGAGAGGGAGTGTGATACACTCTGTAACTAAGTCAGAAACCACAGAAGCACAAAAGCAGAAGAGCAACTTCCTGTGTGACAGCAACAGAATCTGGTGTAGAGGACAGGGTGGAAGACAAATTTGGCAACCATTAGTATGCATGAAATAGGTGTATGATTAGAAAAAGAAAAGTACAGTGTGGTGGTGGCTCGAAGATAAGATATGAAGTTATTTTAATGAAGTTATTACATTAGCAGTTGCACTTGAAAACTTTAAAACAGGAGGAAACTTCCCCGAGTTAGTGGTAAAAATATTTGCACTAGAGACGTTTGTTTCCCTAAACTTATGTTTTATATGATTAAATTACCAGAGTAATTCCTTAGACGGTTGCTAGTCAGGTAAATAAAGATGACTATGGAAAGAATGATAAAACAGCGCCTCCGTGCGGTAAAATCAATTGTTGCATTAACTGAGATGCATTTAGGGTCATTATGTTAGTCAATTTCCTATTTCCTGATTAGTTTAATGTTTAAGTATTCTTATTGAGAGTTAGTTAATTAATGCTATTTCAAAATTGACTTCAACTACCTGCTACTACTTTTAAGTGTCTTGTTGTGTGTGTACTGCTCATGAACTGAAAGCTGAAAAGCTAGCGTCGAGTCAAAGCAACTTATTACAATATTTGCAACAGCCCTCACTGTCCTCACTGTTTATTTATTTGAGACGGCTAAGATTTCTTGAACATACTTTAAATCTGGACTTTTTTGTTGCTATTTCTAGAGGCGCACTTGAAAGCAGTCTTGGTACTGAGTCATCCTTCCAAATTAACGAAGATGTGTTTTACTATATAGTAAATACAGTATGTTAATTTAACATACTGTATTTACGTCAGGCAAAGGAAGGTAAATGTTGCAAGTGCAATGAAACAGTGCCTCTATGTGGCAAAAGTCAGCAAATGCATGTAGTGGTGTTACATTTAGAGTCCTCTCAGTGATAGGAATTTATCATTATCAACGTCAAATATTTTGGGCAAGTGTTCAAAAGACAAAATTTAAAGTATGATATTCTGAATAGTCTCATAAATATTTATGAGGTAACTTGTTTAGTTGTCGTTGCATTCAAGTCTTTGTTCCACCTAGCTGTTCCATCCAGATAAATTATACTTACTATACTTATGTGTTCTACAAATGAACGAGAAAACTCATAGTTTGAGTAAAGTAGGGGTTGCATCTTCAACAGGTCGATATCAATGTTCACATTTGTTTAATGTGACTTCAATCTACTGCTTAACGTTTAATTTTGAATTATTTTGGCGCTGTTATTTTCATTTTCTGAGCAGCACCTGAAGACAGCCACGCTATTAGTTTATTTAGCATTCCAAAATGACGGATCCAACTACGTCTCCAGAGGACCACTGGAAAGTAAGTCACTGTTAAAGACCACTTTTCAGGTTCCTGCTCATTGTTTTTACTGTGACATCTGTAATATTTAATAAACTGTTTGGAAATGCTGAAGTTTGAACGGCGCTGCTAATGTAGCGTTAGCTTCATCACGTTCAGTAACATTGGAACAGATGGCTAACGTGCTAGCAAAGTAAACAAAGCCGACTAAAAAGAGAAACTCGTGTTTCTTATCTAATATTTGTTTTCTTCTAAATTAGCTTGAAGAAGAAAACAACTAAGGCATTAAACTACATTTAAAATAGCAATTTTAAGTGAAGTTGAAAGGCTTATTAAATGGCCACTTCGTCTTACTTGATACGTTTCACACTAAGCCGTTTCTTTGCCAATATTATTGTATCCTTTCTTATTATTTAACCTTTATATTTTATTTGCATTCAACTGAGCATTAATTTTAGTGTGCAAACTCTTGCTGACGAAAGATATATTAATAAAATTTGAGAAATTGGAGCCTTGAATCGAGTTTTAAACCTATTTTGTCGAACAACATTCTTTTTTAAGATAACTCCTAACAGTAGACAGTGTTTCTCGTTTTTTTTTTCCACTATTCGCAGTGGAAAATCTGGGCTAACACAACCAGGCAATAAACCCATTGTGTTACGTTGCCCTACATCCAGCAATAAAACCGATTTGACACATCGTTTATCTTCTGTTGTACTTGAAATGGACAAGTCAGGACATTACTCAGTAGGGGGGGTTGGACTGGCTTGTTGCTCTTTTGTCAACATATTTAGGACAGCACATGTTGTCATTTCGACCTCACACTATATTTTATTTCTTCTCTGCTACTTGGTGATGGCCGGGCAGACAGACGGGGCTTTTAGCGACAATGGCTTTGACACCAGTAAGTACTTCTTGCATGACATGCCATCTTTTCTCTGTGATCTTTTGCCTCTCCTGTTTTTTATTTTCTCATATCTATTGTTTTGTTTACTCAGGTTTCTTCACTGATACTGCCAGAAAAGGTAGCATTGTGTCCAGGGCAAACAGTATCGGTTCTACAAGTGCCTCTTCAGTTCCAAATACAGGTATTGTCTTTTTAACAGATAATTGTTTTTTCTTACAGCTATTTACAGTCCATGTGTAATATGTTTAGAGTTGCACAGTATATCAAATAGTCAGGGTTCCTGCCCTTGAAAAATAAAAAAATGCATAGAATTAATTTCAGGTCTGGTAAAAATGCAAAATCTGATTTTCCAGACTTGCATAATTTGAATGTTTTTAAAAGACTAACATCTCCTGATGTTCAATACACACAGTGGGTTTACATACATTGATGTAAAATTGGCATGCTTAACTTTGATTTACCAAATGAGGTCTTGCGTTTAAAATTTTACATATCAGAATTTTTGTTTTTCACTTAAATGCTCTTTCATAAATCATTCAGCATATTGCTTGGTTTGATTGGCATCTGACAACTCTTGAAACAGAGCAGATCTAAAGTCAGTTCAGAGCGCTGCCTTAAATAGTCTGGAGCTCGGAAACCAATTTTAACATTGTGTTTTTCATTATTTGTGTAATCTACAGATAATAAGATTTGACAACTACAGGGACAATTTATTTTTATCATAGGATTCAAAATAAACACAGAGTAAAGTGAAAGTTTACTATAGCAAACTTGGTCTACAAAGGTTGATGGTTTAGCTTATTATATCCACTCTTTATTCTGGTCAATAATCCAATTAAAATGTAAATATGAAAAATCTGAACAAAAAATTCCATCCTTAATTAATAAATATGTTAAGAAAAAAAATCTGACTTTAGCTATCAGAGCATTTAAACATATTTAAATGTTCATTTGATAGCTGTTACTCAAATGTCCAAAACCAAAAGACGCAGCAAAAAATTTAGAGGTTTGATTGAATTTGGAAAAGTATGAAAGAGTAAATTCAAATTTGACTTAAAGGGTACTTAGTGTTTTCTATTTTGGTGATTCATTTTCCTAGTGATTTATAATACAGACATGTTTCCATGATAAAAATGAATTTGTTCCCTAACAGATGATGAAGACAGCGACTACAGGCATGAGACGTCGTATAAAGACTCATATAAAGACCGAAGGAGACAAGCACACACACAAGCTGAGCAGAAGCGTAGAGATGCAATCAAGGTAACTTCACATCAGGTTCCTTGTCCCCCAATTATCAAATATTATACATATTCTAGAAGTTTCTAATTTTATTCTCTCATTCTAACACCAGAAAGGTTATGATGACCTTCAGGCAATAGTTCCAACCTGCCAACAGCAGTCTGAGTTTGCTGTCGGAGCACAAAAGATCAGCAAGGCTACTATTCTTCAGAAAAGTAAGTTGTAGTCAACAAATGCCTTATGAATTGTGAGCCAATGTGCCTTAATGTATTCAGAAAACAGTTTCTGTTTGTGTTACATGTAGTTTCATCCCTAACTCAACAATGTTATTGCTGAAGAAATAAAACAAAAACTGGTGCTTTATTCTGCCTTTTGTAATTTTTTACAATAATGTTTGTACTTGCATTGTTGTTGTTTTTTTAAGTTCTGATTTTATGGAGCCAAAATGACAGAGTTTTGATTGTAGATTCTATCCTCATAATAAATACTTTTGGATATTGTTATTTTAACTTCTTGAACAGCAGTCCTGAAATTTTTATGCTCAATTTTAAGTAGAATTCAACAATGATATGTTAAAAGTTTAATTGATGGGGAAACCACTTTTTTCTTAGTTGCACACCTTTTCATATAGTTTCATAGTTTTAAAATTAATGCTTTTTAATTGAATTCAAGAGTTAAAAAAGAGCATCAAACAAAAGAAGTTGTTGAAATCTTGCCATGGCTGAGTTCATTTGTGAGAAATAAAAAGGGAGAAGCAGCATTGCCAGCAACTCATAATTGACTTCCCAGTGCTGTGCCAAGATCTGTGACTAATGCATTTTTGTTTTATTGTTTCAGCAATCGACTACATCCACTTTCTTCATAAAGAAAAGAAGAAGCAAGAGGAGGAAGTTTCTGTCCTAAGGAAAGAAGTGATGGCTTTGAAGATCATGAAAACGTGAGGAAGTGGTTTAACTCTTTTTTATTTTTTGCAACATAAAATCTCCCTTTATCTAGAGAAAAGAGGACATAAAGTCCTGACTGCCATAAGAATTTGGATTTAAAAATAAATGTTGATCATGGGTAAAGAGAGAACATCTTTTTAGCTTTGATTGCAATTAATCTCCTCTTTGAAACGTGTGAATCCTAATAGGATATATATAAAAAGAAAACTGTGAAAATCATTATGTTATTCCTACACAGAAACTGCAGCTCTTCACTAAATTGGAAATGAGATGTTTGTTTCCTTCCAGGAACTATGAGCACATAGTGAAGGCCCACCAGAACAACCCACAGCAGGGAGAGGACCAGGTCTCTGACCAGGTCAAGTTCAACATCTTCCAGAACATCATGGACTCGCTATTTGTGTCTTTCAATAATTCTATTTCAATGAGCAGCTTCCAAGAACTGTCTGCCTGTGTTTTTAGCTGGATTGAGGAACACTGCAAGCCACAGGTAAGGACTCTTATGGACGGACGCTGCACAAAGCAAAACATCAATCTGCAGAGGGAGTGACCTTGTTTCTCTTCTTTCTCAGATGCTGCGAGAGTTTGTTGTTGGAGTGCTCCGGCAGCTCAATGGTCAGCTTTATTAGTTGTGGGGAAACCTCTGGCTAACTTCCAGAAATTGACTTTTAACTTGCTCTTGCCTCCTAGGATGGAATTAAAACTTCAATCTGCCACAATCCTCACATTGACTTCAGCTCATCAGAGATTCCTGGATTGTTATTAGATTCCCTCGTCAGATGCTATGGGGAGAGATGAAAGGTTGCCTTGGCTTGAGCAGTTAAATAGGGTTGCCTTGTGACCTGTTTACTGTTAGAAATTTACATCTCTTTAGTGTATTTTTTGCCCCACCTCAAACTTCTAAGCCACATTTCACTATTTTAAGTGAAATGTGGTATGCAAAGAACATCTAGTTATAATTTAAAAAAAGAGCACAGAAAATGGAACATATGAATAAAAAGCTTCCTACAAAACGACGCAGGAAGTAGTGTCTTATCAGGTCTTCTTCCCAAGGTTGCATAGTTTCATAATCTAAATGGTAACCCTATATATATATATTCACAACTATGTATGTGTTCACAACTATGTATGTGTGCCTACAAATAGACGTTCATATCAAGTCAGTTATTCAATTCAGAGCAAATCTGCTCAGCTTAGACACCATGAGGAAAAATCATTTATTTGACGTAAATGAAGTGATGGTGATGTTTCTGCTGCATCTTTAAATTAATAGAGTAAGAAAGCAGAACGGGCACAGCTTTTCTTCTGTCTCATTAATGTAGCTGGATTCTGAACAAGAGCTTTTTGTGCTGCTGCACACAAACAAGTCACTCCTGAAATTTGTTGGATTGTTATGAGTTTTTCAAGCTCTTCTGTTTTCAGGAGCATGCCATATGGTGCCTCAGAATTTCTATCACTGATGTTTGCTTTGAATGGACTCTTTACTGTGATGGAGCTCCCTGTTTAAATAAGCATAGCTTTATAATGGGGGCAAAGCAGAAAAACATATGTTGTGAATGTTAACCCTCTGTGTCACAGCTCAGTGAACGAATTTAAGTTGTTTATTTACAGGATAATGTTAAACACCAAGTGTTGACTTTGATAAGCCTTTTTTAACTCGATATGAAACATCACTAGAATAAGTTGTTGTAATCCTGCTATGATAAATGTTTAGATCTGCTGTGTGAGCTTTTATGATCAGTATGTTGATTACCACTACAGTTTTTTTCCCCTCATTTATCAATCAAAACACTTCTGTACTCATGGGGGGAGTGGAGACTTATTGATAATTTTCAGTCATTGAATTTAAACAATTTTTTTGTGTTTTCAGGAACTTGATTTCAAAGGTAAATCACTATTAACTTTTAGATACCACTGAAGTCTAATGCATGTGCCATAAAGCCACTTGCAATTACCTCAATGCTGTCATTGAGCTTACGCTACTAATTAAGATCGTATAGAAGTCCATCCATTCAGTCTGGTATTATTTTTGTAAACTCAGAATTGGAAGTTTTATAAGGCTTGTATTTGACGACACGCGTGTCTAAACATGCAGTGGACGTTGTTAACGTGTTGATTTTATTTTCCCTTTTAGGAGAAAAAAAGTGTAAGGTGGCAGGAGAAAAGAAACCGAGTCAACAAGAACCACTTTAATCACAATAAACTTATTTACTTGTACTCTTAAAAATGTGATCAAGCATTAGTTTGATATATCACTATCTTAAACAAAAATAAACATATTTCAGCTGGTAAACAAACTGTTCACAACTCAACCTGAATATGTAGAACTTTTAACATTCATTTGTTGACATTACTGTGAACTCAGGTATGTTTTTGTGGTTATAAAATTGGAAAACAAACCGCTGTTGCCTCTGAGATGATGAGCATCCCTCTAGAACGCCTCAACATTTGTGATTAATTTAACTAATACTGATGTACATAAATGCTTTCAGCTATATTTTCTATTTCAGAATCTGTTAAATTCATATTTATTCAAAGAATCTGTTATAAATAAAGTTTCTTCTTGGGATTAGATCGCTGTGATCAGTTTTCTTAGCTAGTCTACCCAGGCTTGATCTGATTCAGTAGCTGTATAGCTGTTTTATTCAGGTGGTGGGAAGCACCACCTTACAGTCCTCATCCGTCTCCACTCCCACCTCTTCCTGAAGAAAAATAAAAGCACTGTCAGTTAATTAACATTTGTGGAAAATTGATTTAATTACTTCCTTGTCATCTTACCAGGAACTCTTTTTTGCTCTTTGGATATCCCTCCAGGATGGCATTTATCATGTCTGAAGCCTGAGAAAAACAAAACTATTTTAGCACTTCCGAAGCAATTTTCCTTCACCACGACGTGCAAATTTACACTGATTTGTTGACAAAAATACACTACCAATCTCTTCCTCTTTTTCCACTCTTTTACATACACATCACGCTCTTTATAGACCTGCAAATTACAACACACACCACATTGTACAAGAAATGCAGAACAATCAAAGTAAGAGACTAACTGAGGTTTTAAAGTGGTTAATACCTTCTCTTTTTCTTCTGGTGTTACGTGATTTGTAGCTGACTTTATCTTCTCCAGACGTTCTCTATAACCAGAACATTCGGCTTTCAGCTCCTGGATTTCTGCCATCATTTCCTCTGTTGTGAGGGAGCTGTTCAGCTCTTTCAATTCTGGCATAGTACAAAGAAATTCATTTCAGCTGCATTTCCACCACTGGACTAAACAGCTTAATTATGTTATCTTCAGTAGTGTTTTTTTTTTTTTTTTTAATGATCTGAATCAGCAGAGCGGTCTACCTGTATCTAGCTGCCTGCAGCTCTGGGTTAGGGTTTGCACCTCTGCACTGAGCTCTGAAATCTGTTTATCCATGGCCTTCAGATCTGCATCATTCACATCTCTGAACTGAGACTGTGGGTGAGATTACAAATAGTTCAGACATCTCCCTGCCTACAGCAATGGAACATCCTAGATTAACAGACTAACCTGATCAGCAAAATAAATCTTTTGCTTGCCATACGTTTTCTCCTTTATCTTGCCTTCTTGAGCCAGCAGTTCCATGGCTTTGACCACTGCCTGGTGAAGCAAGTTAATCAATCCATCATCAGGTTGCAAACAGTACAGCTTTAAAGATTTCTCTCTTGTGCCCTCTGTAGATTTACAACTGAACATCTTTGGCCAAAAATGCTTCATTAAGTTTACCTAAAACCATATTTTTAATCTTTAAACTAAGTTGAGAACAACCAAGTATTTTTAAATAAGTATAAGTATTTTACATGAAAGTAATTATACTCATTTGTGTTTTTGTAAAAATAATCACAAATGAGTCAATACAAATTAATACACAAATTAAAATACATAAACTGACATTTAAAGAAATTGACTACGGATGACTGGATGGAGGGTAATTTGACCCAGAACAAATCACGAAATCAGAAAAATACAACAACAAAAGATTAAGAAAAAATGTATCTCACAGTTTTTCCCAACCCATGCTGCTTCTGCAGATTGCTGAAGACATCCTGAGCACTGTAGGGACGGTTCTTTTCATTTAGATAGGCGAGGATGATAGACGGTCCTGTAATGAACAAAATATTAAGGCTGTGCAGATAGTAACATTATGCCATTGTGACAGACTTAATGCACTTTTACGTTTGAGTTTACTCGATTTCATCACATCTTATGACTCTTAATCATTTATGCCTCTTTCAGATATTCTCCCGCAACAAACTGTTGTTCGGGTTAGCTAACGTTAGCTTTATGCTAACTTAGCTACACTTTATTTCGAAGTTTCGGTGAAACACCAACGTTTTCCACGTGAAATAAAACGTTGTCTGGGATTAAAAACAATCGAAAATAAATTGAAGTAGTTCATTTTCCTTACCGTTGTCTTTTTTACTCATTTTCGTGTTCACGTTAGCTTTCCAGGTTGAGTTTCGCGGAAACTGTGCGTCACGGAAAAGATCGACTATTTTATGAGAGATATCACACCAGTATATAATTCCAACTCCCTAGTCTCAGCCAATCTGAGATCTTCTGTTGAATTTTTAGCTGATATAAAGTTATATTATTTTGACGGAGGAGCGAATGTTTTCGCAAGTATTTGTCTTAAAGTTGTTATCGAGTGGGATTGGCTTAAATCTTTAAGTCGTAGCTACTAAACCCGAAAAAAATAATAAGCGTTGTAAGACGTCTGTATCTTTAGTTGCTCTCAAAGGAAAAGTACTAAGAACGCCCCCTGAAGTCACAACATAGAAGGAATTTACATTTTTATTTAAATTTAAAGTTAGTAACCCTAAGTCTTAGGAGATTCCATTTCTACATTGTTTCTTTTCCATTTTAAATTAACAAAACATCAATAAGAATTATAACATGTAGGCATTTTGACCTCGTCTGTCTTTTTTGGTATTTCATTGTGTCAAAGAACAATCCAAAAGCCTAACTTAATTCCAAACAATTTATTCAAAATATATCAAAACCAGATATGGAGAAGAAAATACAACACTATGCACATTAACTGAACAGACTATAGAATATCGAGGACTTAACTTTTCATGGAGCAGCTTGACTGAACATTAACACCCAAATCTAACAAGCCAAAGAAATGCATCTCAGTCATGAATCAGTGCATTGTTTTTCCAACTTCAGCTTCATGAAAGAAGATCTGTTTTTGTTGTTGTTTAATAGTACTGAAAACTTTTCTAAACAGGATAGTTTTTTTCAGAATAAAGTAGCAATTATTTTTTTTTGTTAAAACAGGATAGAAGATTCAATAAATCAGAACGTTTCTGGTTTAAAGTGCCATATTTTCACCATCATGGAGAACAATCACACAAACCTATATAAAATCACTTTAAACTTTTATAATAATCTTTAAAAAAAGATTTTGATGTAAACATGGTTCCAAATTAAAAAAAGGACACAATGTAAGATATTTTTCTGCCTTAAATAATATCAAATGGGTTGTGAGGTATTAAACCAGAGCAGGAAAAGGAAAGGAAAATGAAAACAGCTGTGAACTTATTCACATAAACAGTAAATAACTTTTGCCTTAGAACAAAATCTGATAACTAAAATAAAATATATCAGGACTTTACTGGCTCAGTTAAGACAGTAATATGGGGTAAAATAAGCCTCCACAAGAACAGAAATGCTGAAGATGTCTTCATATGAATCAACAGAAAGAAAAAGTCTTTAAAATACTTAAATTAAGTTTTGAAAATATGCAACATAAAAATAAATGCAGCTCCTATAATTATGTCATGTCAAGAAATTACAATGCTGTCTCTTGAAAGATGGATAACTACTGTAATGACCTAAAAAAACTAACATTAACTACTATCCAAAATGTCTGTATTAAACATGGCTCAGCTCAAGCAACAGGAATATCATATTTGGTCCTATGTTAAAAAGCCCTGTTTTTATCGATTCAAAAGTAGAAAAGGTTTAATGTGCACTCCTGTAAGTTTTGAGAGTGTAATTTTTCTATTTGACAATGCTGTTGTATCAAATGTCTCATTGTATTTTTGTTTTTGTATTTCCTATTGCTCAGCCTACAAATAAAAAGTTATCGCTGATCGGACTTGAAGAGGAAGGAAAAGAAAAGTAGGAAAAGGGAAAAAATATGAAATACTTCACAGTGAGAAATTGTTGCCTACCAAAAGCAGGACTGCTGGAACCTAAATTTATCTCACACACTGGTCAACATTTATTATTCTGCCTAGCAGAAAGAACACACAGCAGCACAAGCTCTTCACTGTTGTTTACCAAGCAGGTTTGATAAGAAATTAGACCCCTGACTCTCACTTCGTTTCGAACTTTCTCCTCCAAATGGATCCATCTGGTTCAGTTCAGACTGATCCAGCATTTCAAAGTCTTCTGCATCCAAGTCTGTGTCAAATTCAGAGCTGGATTGTTTGCGGTAACTTTTGTGCTGAACGACCCGAGGGTGGCCTTGTCTACGCTGGGTGACAGAAGGCCGAGGCTGCAACGCCCCAGATAGCGCTGCCTGGATCATGTTGCTGGCAATGACTCCGGCTAACTCCCCACTGAAATCTGAGGCGGTTGGGAGGCCACTGAGGGAAAGTTCTGCATCCTCCTGGTCAGAGTCCAGATGTGCATCCACATCTAGCACCGAGGTGCGGTGACTCGCCAAGCCAGACAGACCCAGGCTAGGTAGCCCAATGCTTGTGTCGTCGTCGTCGTCCATCAAAGTGGCGTCAGGGTTTATGGACGGGAAGTCTGGGAGGTCTTGAGCAAAAGACTCCTCGGCATCGCTGTGTCTGTCCAGATCTAACACAAAAACCAGAAATTTAGAGGAGAGAAGGCAGAAGACCGGGACGATATAATGAAGATACCTGAGCGTACCTTCAGAGCCCTCTGTGAGTGGAGTCTGACCCCGTGACAGATTAAAGGTTCCATTGTCAGTGTAGGACACCTCAGCGTCAGAGTGCTCCGAATCAGTCAGTGCAAGTTCCTTAGCGGCAACCTCATCATCAAACTGGAGGAGAGAGTCAAAGAAGATGCTTTAATGCAATCAAGCAAAACGTTTTAAATCAAGTAATTCTCTTTCAGTCTCTGCTTGCTCAAGATCTCAAACCTTTTCAAGCATCAAACTCTTGAAACTATTTGCAAGTTCTTTTCTTTCATGCTCCTGACCTCAACAGGAAGTGGCTCTGGTATGCCACTGTATTCATCACGGTGGAAATAGATGAAGTAGCAGGTACAAAAACAAATGTTTTTCTGTATACTTTCTCACTAGCTTTGATGTAAACAAAGTGACTTGAGCAGCTTTGCTGACTTGAGCAGGGTAAGTCAACGTGTGATGACTTACTAATCACATGCAAGTCATTCTTGTTTAACAGTATTACTTAGGAGGTGGAAGAGTTAACAGGCTTACTTTTGGGCAAAACGCAGCCAACTCTTCCTCACTGTCACTCGCTTCATCGGAGGCTGCACCACGTACCGACCTTCGAAGGACTGCAAAGGACAACAGATAGTTAGTAATTATTTCTGCTAAATTAATCCTCTGGTCACCACAGGTTACAACAGTAAGATCATTTTTATTTACATTGTGAATAAGATGAATTAACATCCGAAAGAAACAGACCATCCCAGTGGCTTGTAAATAAGATAACCACTGGAAGCTTTTCCCTATTTTGTCAAGTTATAACCACAAATTTCAACATATTTTATTGGATTTATAGTCTGTGGCACAGCCAGATATACTGGAGATTCCCCATATTTTGTCAAAAATATTGTATTACTTTCCTTTACATAAACATTCATGTCACCACATTTTTTAAAAAAAGGTTTTAAGATGTCTTTGGCTCACCCTTTGCAGCTTTAATATTGTTCTTGGGTATTTTTAAGAACAAACACTAATGCTGGGAGAGAGTCCTTGGCTCAGTCTCCTCTCTGTATCCTCCAAAAGGTATCCTACTGTATGTAGGTCAGGGCTCTATGCAGTCAAATTGTTGTATACCAAGCTTGCTTAAGTCCTTATGAACATAAAATTGTTCAACCTTTCTCGGTTTACCGAATCATTAAGAGTTCCTTTCACAGGAATGGAGATGCCGAGCCCAACTTTTGAAACCACTCTATTTAATCCATGCTTTGTCTTCTCTGCACCAAACTTTACACGGCTATGCAAGGCAGTCAGGCAAGTTTTGTTCTCCTGGCAACTGCCAAACACAGACTGATAGATTGTCTTGTAAGCACGCCTTCAGTTACACCTGAAATGATCATTATTATATATAATTATTAATATGCAATATTAATAATTATTAATAGTTAATAATAAATTGGCATTTAAGTTTAAATTTATTTAATATTGAGATTTAAGTAACATGTATCTTTAGACAGGGAATCATTTTACATTTTGAAAAAGTCCAGCCACCGTCCTGACTTGAATCTGATCGAGAAGCATTAGAGAAAGCTACGGATGAGGGCGATGGCAACGAGGCCTTCCTATCTCAAAGACTTGGAGCTCATCAACATGCAAAATGCTAGTCTGAAGTTATAAGAAGAGCTTGGTTGCTTTGATATTATTTAGGTGAATACTGTGATTTATTACTCCCCTCCCCCCTCTTATCCCACAACCCCAGCTGCTTTCTCTGAAGGCACACAGCCTCTGATCTGAGTGAATTGATTTGTGCTTGATCTAGAATGAGTGCAGGTGGGTTTACTTTAGTATGCTTATTGTTGAACTGTGATATGAGAGAAGTTTTTAATTCATTTTTATGTATTTAGGGTTACATTTGTTGGCTGACATGTAGGCAAAAAAAAACTAATAAATAAATGGCTGAAAAATTTAGATACAACTTACACTGATTATCAATGGGCTTTGACATCATATATCCACAAACACTGAAGTCTAGTCGCTGCAGGAATGGCTCCAGCTTGACATACACACACTGAAAAACCCGGTGGTAGGCAGCCAATGGTGTCAGGAGAGTTGCCAACACTACAGCGAGAGGGAAAAGATCACTAGTCATTACAGGAGGGAATATTTCTGTTAGGTCCACGTGACAGGGGAAAAAATGTTCTCCTCAGGATTTAAATTTAGATTGGAACAGATCTGCTTTGCTGACAATCACATGCCCATTAATCTGCATAAAGCAACAAACTGCTATAGATGAGGGGTGTGAAGATGCAGCAAACAAGCTGCCGTAGATTGCTCCTCCCTGCTAAGCTGTGCAGCCTTCAGTACTTGAAGGTTAGCAGATTAGCCCACTCTTCGTCTGACCTCCTTGGCTTCCGACTTGTATGTCTCATCCCAGCTTTAATCACCTCACTGAGTGGACCCTGGAAATACGGCCCCACAGATCTGATTTCATTACCCATGCATTTTTAATCACACTGGTCAGGATATGATTCCCTGCCAACACGACCTTATAATAGCATGCCATTTTATAGTTAGAACTCTGTAAATTGCTGAGACTTACATGCAGAGTAGGAGAGCACTAATCCAGGAATGTAGTGTCCAATCATAGCCAAACAGAAGAAAACTCCACAGATCAGGATGCAGAACTGTCATAAAAACCAGACATATATGGCTAAAGGTCAGAGGTCCTGCAAAACATTGACCCATTAAGCATTTATCAAGAGCTTAAAGAGAATGGGGTAAATTAATATTTTGCACTCATGATGAGACAATTAATCCAAATATAGGTATTTCAAATGGCTTTTAAAAGGGGCATATTCAGAAGGTAAAGAGTGTATTCATCAACTTATTTTAGGTGTTGTGTGTTATCCTCACATTGCCAGGGTTTTGTCGTTTATATTGCGCCATAGTGGATGTAAAAACTGATGCGCTGACCCAGGCCTCTGCTAAGTGGTGGCACAGTTCAGGCACACTGAGGATGCCAGGCTGCACCAGACCCCAGCTGGAGAAACAGACAATGCTTTGAAATGAGAAATACTGTAGCAATAACTTATGTAAAGGATTAAAACAAACCTCTCATTTTCTGATTCTTCCAATTTTCTGACTGTGGAGAGAGAAAGAAAAATTATTCTTCCACGACAAACAACAGTCTTACACAATTTATTTCAATATAATATGAGAATACAATAGATATAATATATTGTGACTGAGAATTTTGAGTCATCTCTATACAAATAAAGTTAAAATGATTACTGCACATAATTAATTCCACACATATCTGATATAAGTCTATTTCATAGTCTGTTCAAATTGTGCAAAAATATCTTCCACACTAAAGCAAAACTTAGCACCTCTAATTTTTGGCCAGATCTTATTCCTCCAGGTATCGGCAAATACAAGCAAAGCCAGGCCCATAGCCAGCAGGAACAGCAGCCGCAGGGACGTCAGCGCAAAGAACCTGGAGGGAAAAGCAGATACAAAATCCTGAACAGACAATTCATCATCAGACAAGCCTGAATGGAGCAGATTGCCTCACTTTGTGCATAATTCACTGGACCGCAAATCCCTTACGGAGCTCCCTTTTGACACTTTGATTCAGAAGAATGAAAGAATAAAAATATATCTTTTCCCCAAACAAAATGGAAAAACACTGTATGACCAGAATACTATGTTTTAAAAGTCGTAAGAGCTAACCTCCCCACAGAAGGACTGGACACCATTTTTTTCCTAATAACAATCCTCTATGTCCTAGCTTCAAAGCCCAACCTCTAGATCATAGGTGTCAAACTCTGGCCCGCGGGCCAAATTTGGCCCGCAGTTTAATTATATTTGGCCCGCGAGGCAATTTCAAATTAATATTAGACATTTATGTCAGAAAGGAGGCATTAAATGTTTATTTAAATTTTATTTAATATATTTAATATTTTATTTCATATATTAAATATGTTTTATTTAATATAATAATATGTTTTTTTATTATTAGCAACTCATTTTTGCACACCTGCACTTTTAAGTTAGATAAGCTTTGCTTGTTCAATATTTATTGTTATATTAGAACTTGTTTGGGTCCGTATTAAAATATTCATTTGTTCAACCTTGGCCCGCGACTTTGTTCAATTTAAAGTTTTGGCCCACTGTGTATTTGAGTTTGACACCCCTGCTGTAGATCATATACAGTAGATACAGTAGTTTTGGTGTTGCCTTAAGTTGAGCATATTTGTAAATATCTGTGATGCTAATATGTTCCACAGCAACATTCCTCTTGATTAAACAGTTTTTAGTATTTACCCTTTTCGGCACCGTGATAAAACATTGCTATTCACCGGAAGTAATAGCAGTCATAGAAATATAACCTAGGACTACTTTATTTTAAGAAAATTGGATACATTCTAAAAGATTATTTGCATACTGGTGAAATGACTGATTATTATAACAATTTGCAGTTACCAGTAAATTAAGATTGGTGTCTTTTGAATCAGTTTTCCCCCTAAATGTATTTATTATCAAAATCTGATAACCCTGTATCTGAAATTGCCGATCTGACGTTATTTCTCTAACTGTGTTAGCTTTAAACTAAAAGAAAGTGGTAGACTTGTTGATCTGAGGTAACGTATTAATTCTGGATTTGCAGTGCATTGATTTCAGTTCTTATTTTTAACTTGGACATATTCAATCACTAAAAAGCTGCAGACTGTGGATTTAAATTGCAATTTATTTACACTGCCTGGGATCACAGTGATTAATCTAAGCCTCTCAACAATGGTTTAATTTAAGAACTCAAAAATGTGTTGACCCAAACAGTGCTGCAGGGTTTTGCCAATCAGAAGATTACCTTGAAGAATGTGCTGACTGCTGGGACTTAAGTGGAAATACAAATATGATCAACAAATGAACAGTTACTGAGATAGACTGAAGCTGCAATGCACTACTGGGGTTTGTGCTGAAGCAATAGTAAAACAGAAGAGAAAGGCCTTGAAACGGTGAATGACCTAATCAAATGAAGTCTGAATGGCTGAGTTTGAACTGCACTGTGGCCAATCATGCTTTCTTTGCATGTAACACTTCAGTGAGTTTTATAATTCAAGTATTATTAAGGTCATCACATCTTGTGAGTTATTCACAGGAAATTGCCGTAGTTATATGCTCTTTATATTTAAAGCCAGAAATTAGTAGGTTTCTGATTTTAAGTTATAAAAAGTGTACCTAAAAATATTAAGATCATGTTTATGACCCAGGTTGTGGTGACCATAAATAGGAGCTGACAGATTTACCGCCTGTTTGCAGGCAGGTTCTCATGACAGGAAATCAGTCTCCGCAAAACTATCACACACACACCAGTGTGGAAGGATACACTCGTGTATATTTTTATACGAGATGGAAACCTACCAGAATACAATGTTGACAACAATGTAAAGGAGGACACTGTGAAAGGGTCTTTCCCACAATAGAACAGACTGAAGATAGGTCAAAACGGGTTCGTAGGGTCCCAGCTTAGACAGAAGAGCCACTCTGACAGCCCGCACACGACCGTCTCTCTCACTGGAGCACGGCCGGCTCCGCAGGCAGACACTAGACCCCTGCTCGGAGGAACAATCCCCCATGGGGGACACTTCTGTAGCCCCAGTGTGCGCCATCTTAGAGTCTGCCGTTGACAAAAACCAGCCTGAAAAACAAAGACTAAATAAAGGACAGTGGACAAAGGTAAACTGCTTGATGAGACACTACAGCGCCACAGACCCGAGTTCGCTCACAACAACTGACGCTAACGGTTAGGGCTAACAGCGAGAGAGGACACCTGAAATATCATACTCACTGTTTAGAATTAGACATCTTCCTATATTAAAAGTGATCATTATATAAAAATCCAAATTTTAAACATTTTATAAGACGCTGACACTTACTATTTAGTCATTTTCTCCCCAGAAATGTAGCACTTCTCTTCAAAAATTGTCAATATGGCGTGTCTTGTTTTTCCGACTGCAGAGCGGGCCAATCAGAATCCATAGAAACATTCGTCATGGTGCGTTCAGGTAAAATTGGATCATTTTTTTTACGTTGCCTTTCAGACTACTGAAGTCGACAGTATTACACATTTCAAAAATATTGTTGAAAAGGAACACAAGTGAAGCAATACAATTTTTCTTTACATTGTTTACTCGTCAACTCACAATTCAATCAAACTTTAATGTTAACTTTCAAAATGATAATAATTGTTAGTTCAATTCAAAACTGAATTGAATTATCTTTTTGAAATAGTTAATTCAATTCATTCTTGAAGTTAATTAAAGAAATCAGTCTTGATCTTTTTTTTTGGCTATGTATTTTGCTAAGATGTTGAATTTCAAAAGGCTTCTTTTTTGGAGCTTAAAATAAGCCACAATTATTTTAGATAGTCAATATGTTTAAGTATATTGAAGTATTATCATTGCTAAATTTTCCATACATTTACCAAACGCTTACGTTCTCCATGTCTACCTAATGGTAGGTATCATGTATATGGACAGAGGGCAGCAAAAAGTAAGAATTATACTTTTAAAAAAAAGAATTTATTACTTTATTTTTCGGAAAAAATGTGTGGGGGTGATATTAAAAAGAAGGAACGACTAAACAAGTGTCAAAAAATAAACCCTAACACTACTTCCGGTGGCCACCTTGTAAGAAAATCTACTTTTCTGCTGAGCTTTTGCCATCTGTGGCACCTGTCACTTTATTTAACAATAAATACAAAATTTGCAGTGTGAAATCCTCCGTTGGTTGTTTTCGGGAGATTTAAAATTGCCAGCAAAAAAGGGGAGAGCACGCAAGTCAACCCAGAGGCTTGCCTGCAACGTCATACTCAAAGGTCCGCATCATTTAAATGCTGGCGCACCGAAAAGTTGGTGGCAAAAAATTAATACGAATAAAAAAATTGAAAAGAATGCTTCCATCTCGGTTTGGTTGGGTGCATTATTTACCAAGACGTAATCATCAAATTACTGTTTCTATTTTCTGTATTGCTTGAGATATCACTGTCAACAATAATTTGTAAAAACTTTCGAGTGATCTCAATCGTCTCTTCACTTGTTCCGAGGTCACGCCTTCTTCCCTGTTGAACGGAAAAGGAGCAGACCCACTACCAAGCGGGAAGGAGCGGGCTGTTGATGGCGATTCAGTGTCGAAACTGAGAGAGAATTGCAGAGTCGTAATTGTAAATTTAGCTAGCCTGTCTGCTGGCTAGCTAAAGAAGGAGCAACTGAAGATTGAACATGCCCCGGGAAATTATCACCCTTCAGCTCGGACAGTGTGGAAATCAAAGTATGTAACGGAAAATAATAGCTAACTTGCTTCATCAACGCAAACTGTATTGTCGTCTATCACAGGCAAATTTTCTACATTTGTCGTTTGCTCGTGAAAACGAAAAAATGTTTGTGCAGTATTCTAAATGGCGAGGGAAACTAAAGCTAAGTGTGAAGATGTATACTTTAGTGAAAATGTCGGTGAATTTAACGTTATCGCATCCTAGCTTAACGGCTAACGGATACTCAACTGAGATGAGTTACGTTAGCTGCGCGTGCTAAATAGATATCAGCTTATGTTGTTTTTTTTTCTACTTGTAATGATCTATTAAATATATATAACAGTGTTTAATGCAAGACATTTATCCATGTTTTCTCTTGTATTTTATAGTCGGCTTCGAGTTCTGGAAGCAGCTGTGTGCAGAGCATGGCATCAGTCCAGAGGGTATCGTGGAGGAGTTTGCCACTGAAGGGACGGACAGGAAGGATGTGTTCTTCTACCAGGTAACTACATTAATAAAACTCATTTTGGTGACTCCCTTTAAAATGTGAAACTCATTTAAAACATATTATATGTTGTGTATTTCTGGTATGTTTCTGCAGATAAATGTTAATGTGTATTCTCTTTGATACAAGAGCTGTTTTTCCATCGAAGGTAGTTATAGATAATATTGTACAGTAGACTTTCCTTTTTTTCACCGCTATATTTGGCCTTGGTTAGAATATTGGGGCCATGGCTAAGATTTATATTGCTCCTGTCACAAGTAAAACAAATTGTCGATATCAGAAATGTCCTTAAGTAAAACAATGCTGCTGCTACACGTCAAGTAGTAATGATACTTTTCCTATTGTTTTAGTCACTCCATTCATTCACATGTTTATTGTTTTGTTGCTATGCAAGTACTGATTAAACATGACAGGTTCTCTTGAGGTTTTAATTACGTGTTGATAATATGGGTGCCTTGTTCAACACTGTGTTATATTTGTGACCCTCATATTCACCGCCACTATTTTCCAGTAGGTGGCATACGTGTCATATAAAAAAATAGAACCCAGCGGTGCTGTCAAGGACAGGGACTGTGTTGCATCTCTAAACTAATCCTCGTTGTTAATCAAACTCCTCAGGCTGATGACGAGCACTACATCCCCCGAGCTGTCCTCCTAGATCTGGAGCCTCGTGTGATCCATTCAATTCTCAACTCCCCGTACGCAAACCTGTATAATCCAGAGAACATCTACCTTTCTGAGCATGGTGGAGGTGCTGGGAACAACTGGGCCAGTGGATACTCACAGGTCAGTTTTGTTTAGAAATCACATCTATTTAATTTCATTAATCCAGTTTAAATAAAATAATTTTCACTTGAAATCTTATTTTTCCTAGGGCAAAAAAATCCAAGAAGACATCTTTGATATTATTGACCGAGAGGCAGACGGTAGTGACAGTCTGGAGGCAAGTCCAACATGTGTAACTTAGTGTCTTTGAGGTCGGGGTCACTGTCTCTCTGTGGTTGCTTGGAAACGTAAGCGCTGATTTTAAACATAAAGGCATATCTTTGTGTGGCGGTGCCACAACTGTATAGTCTGCTGACTAATTCAGGCCATTCAAGAGCAGTGAGGCTGAGCTCAGACATTAAGAAAAGTGTCGGTTACATGTTTTACAGTTAATGTGATGGATTAATTTAGTCTTAACATGTAAGAATAGCAATATGTAATGGATGAATGGATGTAAGAATAGCAACAGTTTAGACTAAGTAAGCTATTGTGATTTGTGGGATGCTTTTCTGTGGTCATTTTGTTGTTTCTGTAATCACTTTGAGTTTATTTGTGGTCATTTTTTTGTCCCTCTCTGCTTGTTTATCCACTTTTAGGCCATTTTTCTTTGTTGTTGTTTTGTAGCTTTACTAACTTTTTTTGTAGTGGTATACACAGCCCCTGACTCTTTTGGTCATTTTAAGAGCGTTTCTAAATTCTTGTCATTGACTCAGCCTTTCCCAAAAGAAAGGCTGAGTCAATGACATGGAACATGGTCTACCTGACATTACTCAGGCAGATTGCTGCGCCTCAGCAGTCTGCCTGACGTAAATGACTTGATGGAAACAGCATCCTAAAATAGTGCCAGAGCCTGTCCTCTTAAATCCTGGCCATCCCGCTCTATTATTCTTAGACTCTTTATTTTTTTGTGAACCCAATTCAGCTTCCAGCCTCTCGTAAAATAACACTCGCATTTCCCCTCAGAGGTCTGCAATTTTTGTAACTCCTTTCCCATTATGAGCCCACATTATTATTTAGTGTGCGCACTCATGTGTGCTCTGGGTAGGAAGGTGGGCCGAGCTGCTGTTGGCATGTGTATGTTAGAAGGGTGTGGTGTGCAGTGTGTTTGGTGATAATAGTTGGGGCGAATGTTGAAGGCAGGTATTACAGGCCTGACTTGAGAGGGTGTAGGGGGGGGCGAGGAGGAAGCCCATTTGCGAGGTGGGGCTCTGCTACCATTTATATAACTGCCTAGGAAGCGAGGCGTTTGCTCACCCACACACTTTTCTGTTCTGCACCACTGGAGTCAACTGTAGGTTTTTACATGCATGTGGTGCATGCTGCAGCTCGAGGGTGGTGGTAATGAGTAACGCTGTATCTCTGCAGGGATTTGTCCTCTGTCACTCGATTGCCGGGGGAACTGGGTCGGGACTGGGTTCGTACCTACTGGAAAGACTCAACGACAGGTCCACAAACACTCTACCAGCTTACTTGCTGCTACTTACTTTAGATTTGGCTTGGGATCTGGTGTGTGTAAATAAAATATTTCCTGCTCCACAGGTACCCAAAGAAGCTGGTACAGACCTACTCTGTTTTCCCAAACCAGGATGAGATGAGTGACGTGGTTGTTCAGCCGTACAACTCGCTGCTCACACTGAAGAGGCTTACCCAGAATGCAGACTGCGTGGTGAGCAGTGCTTGAGTGGGAATGCTAATTATTTCTTTCTTTCAAGATAAAATGATAAACAAGGCATTTCTTTTGTGGAAAGTTGTCTATTCTTTTGATTATTTCACTGTTACACTCTGGAGTAGTTTCTCCTGTTGGCTGGGATCCACAATGTAGAAAGTCTTTTTAACAAGTCAAAGGTGAAACTGCTATTAGTTAATTTTATGCAATGTTTTTTTAGAATCTGCAAAATGTTGAACTGCAAACTTAAAAAAGAATTGCATATTGAAAAATAATTTTTAAAAATGACAGAAATTAATAGTGTTCATACGAGTCAGACACCTTTAGCTTTCCTAACCAATCGTTAATTAATGGCCAACTTGACTTTTGAATAAAGCAAACATTTTTTCATAAGCACTACAGCTGTCTCTCTTTTAATCTTCACAGTTCCTTTATGTAAAATAATCTGGAACTTTTCTAATTCCCAGAAATTAGAATAAACAGATTGCATTAGAAGTATTCAGGTCTTGCAAATGCAACTTATTTAATTTGACTTCTAAATATCTGATTGTATTAAGACACAGACGCACTAGCAGTCTAATGGCATTTCCTCTTTAATGCCTACTTCCTCCAGGGTCTTGCATAAGAACCTAATGTTGATGGAATTAGCGTGAGTTAATAGAATCTAGCCCTAGAATTGGTCTCCTTGTTGTGACCGTACAATTTATTGCATATCTTCTACTTTCCTAACAATGACACACTGTGTGGCTGCTTCTTCTCTCAAGAAGTAGCAGTACCTTCTCACTCCTAAAAGCATAGCAATATATTGACTTGTGTCTTGACTTGCTCTGTCTCTATTTGTTTTCTAATTGCTCCATCTTGTCCATCAGGTTGTTCTGGATAACACTGCTCTGAATCGCATTGCCACGGACAGGCTGCACATCCAGAACCCGTCATTCTCTCAGATTAATCAACTGGTGAGTAAGATGTCAGTTTCATTTGAGGTTCAGCTAATTGTCTCCAAGGGTGTTTTTCATCATCACAAAACGTACAAAAACACAGCACACTTGAAGAGACACTTGACACCCACTAAGAATTCACAAACTTGTTTGGTTGGTTTTTGGACACTAAATCTAATTGCTGCTTTCTTGGATTTGTCCCTGGCTTTATGGCAGGGTATGTTGCCTGACTGGAAAACATTTTTGTTTTATTTTTCTTAGGACAGATAATTAATTTCTTGTCAAAGCTTTGCATTGAGATGTCTCAACATTTTAGGTTTCAACAATCATGTCCGCGAGCACAACTACTCTTCGCTACCCTGGCTACATGAACAACGACCTGATTGGTCTGATTGCTTCACTCATTCCCACTCCCCGACTCCACTTCCTCATGACGGGTTACACACCACTGACCACTGACCAGTCGGTAAGTAGCTGATATTTCACTAGATGAAATGTACTACATGAAACATTAGGAACGAAAGCACTTACGAAGCCATGTCTCAGGTTGCTAGTGTGAGGAAGACAACGGTGCTGGATGTGATGAGGAGACTGTTACAACCCAAGAATGTGATGGTGTCCACTGGAAGAGAGAGACAGCCCAGTCACTGCTACATTGCTATTCTCAATATCATCCAGGGAGAAGTTGACCCCACGCAGGTATGAGAGACGAAAATGAGAAATGTAATCATTAGTGGTATTAAAAAAAAACATGAAAACGTTGTTTCTTTAGGTGCATAAAAGCCTCCAAAGGATCCGGGAGCGCAAACTTGCCAACTTCATTCCCTGGGGTCCAGCCAGCATCCAGGTGGCCTTGTCCAGGAGGTCCCCATACCTGGCCTCAGCCCACAGAGTGAGCGGCCTGATGATGGCCAACCACACCAGCATCTCTTCTGTAAGCACTCAGCACAGTCTTACTGTTCCCTAGTGTGTAATTATGTAAAGATATTTGGAAATTCTCATAAGCATTTGTCTGTTTTAAATGTTTATTGTTGTTTTTTTTTTATCCCACTGGTTTAAAAACTGTTAAGCTAAAACAAAACAAACAAACAAAAAAATATATATATATAAAGACACAAGAATCTGCCTTTCTGTGACTATCTGATTTATTTAGTCTAAGTTGCAACAATCACTACTTTTTGCTTTATTAATAAGCCAAGGAAATCTGCATCAGATTCTCTTTCTCTCTTAAGAAGAGAATCAAAACAGAAAGTAGACTTTTAAGAAATCTGATAAGGAACTTGAATTCTTCCTGCTTTTAATTATAGTTTTGCCCTCATTCTGTTGCTGTTCTAGCTCTTCGAGCGAACGTGCAGGCAGTATGACAAACTGCGAAAGCGCGAGGCCTTCCTGGAACAGTTCCGCAAAGAGGACATATTCAAGGACAACTTTGATGAGCTGGACAACTCTCGTGAGGTTGTCCAGCAGCTGGTGGACGAGTACACAGCAGCGACACGACCCGACTACATCTCCTGGGGCACACAAGAGCAGTGACCATTGTTCTGAATTTCTGCACCATAACTGGCTATAGCTGCTGTTCTGACAATTATTTATTAGGAGGTTATAGCATGTACTTATAGGTTAAGAGGCAGTGATTAATGTTAAGAACTTATTAACCAAAGTGTCCTGGATTGTTATATTTTGGAAATTCCTAATTTTAGTTGATATAAAGTTATTCTCCTAATGAATAGTTAATTTCAAGTTATATTACAAGTAATAACAGAAAGCATCAGTGACTGTTGTCTCTAAAATATAAGCTCCCTGTACAGCACCTGTATTTTGCCAATGTTGAACAACCTGTTGCCTTGTTTTTCTCTATTTTTATACAGTTCAGTAGTTTTTTTTTTTCTAGAAGCGCCCACTACCTATAGGCTGCATAAGAGTGATGGTTAATGTAGGTTTTGCCATACCTCATCTTTCTTACTTCCACAGTGAATTGTACCATCTGTCTGCTGCTGATTCACAATGCTCAATGTATCACTGTTCATGACAAACAAGAATGTGGAGCTGTTCTGACTGGTGTTAAAATAATTTCAATTTAAACAGCTTTTGTCTTTAAAAGTAACAGTTTAACAAGCATAAAACCTCTAACTTCTCTGTAAATATGCTTCAAAGAATAGCTGGTTCTCTGAGTATTAAATGTATTGTTCCTTATTGCTTTTTGTTGGACCTGTAAGATTAATAAACTTTTCATTACTGTACTTTTCTATCTTCTAAAGACACTGTCGGCTGTATGGAAACGTTATCCTTCCTGTAACATTATTTCTCCTCTCACCTGGAGCACAGTGTACCAGCGCCTGCTCTTGTAATTCAGTCAAGGATCATTAACTGCGGGGAACGCAATGGCACTTAGCAATGCTTGCTTTAGCTGGTATAGTTTTCACTCTGAACTTTTTAGGAAGAAACTTTTAAGATGTAATGCTGAGGCCAGACAGCAGTATTTATTTACAAAAACATGACTTATTACAAAATTGTTAAAGGACGATATTGTGTACTTTCCAGGCACATAATGCCATTTATTGTACCTTCATGAAACTTATGTTCAATTGTAAAATTCTGCATATTTAAATCATAAATTTGAAATTTGCCTTTCTGTAGTTAATTTTAAAACACAAAATTCAATAGATTACAAACTATTATGGCTGTGGCACAATCAACTAACTTATTTTCAGTTATGAAATTACTGCATACATCAAACAACTTAATTGAATTTGGATTTAGCAATTTGAAGTCCTGAAATTGGCCTCCGTCTCTAAGAAGCTCCTAGTCTTGCTCCATTTTGCTATTTACAACCATTCTCGACAGAAAGGTAGTCTGTATAAGCTCAGCAAACTCACAGTTCCACCAGGTGTTTGCTAATTGCTGCTGTCGCTAGTCTGAAGGAGCTGAGTGTTGAAGACATGGGGTAAGTTTGAGACTGCAGCTCCAGAAAGAGCTTAGTGGAAATAGGTAGCCCTTTGTAAGTAAGACAACCAATAGCTACTACATGAGTGAATATTTCCTCAAACATTCAAGAAATAAAGAAACATTACAAGTATGTCTTTGATGAGGGAACATTCTAACCAGCATGTCTTTGATTAGGGAATAACATTCTAACCAGATATAAAGCTCAAAGTTGATTTTACATAACATTTTCAAACATTTTACACATATTCCTCCCTCAACTTCCTTTCAGGGAATGAATCACCACTGACAATAAGGTAAAATGGGTATTTATTTTTATTAATTACAGTATTTATAGTTTTTATTGCACTCCCAAGTTAGTTAAAAATAGTGCAATTAAATATACACATTACATAAAAAAGGTACCATGCAGCTTACAGACAAGCTTAATACTAAGCAAAGACATCCGCAGTTAGTTTTTTTTCCTTTACATATATCTAGCTCGGAGCTGCCTGCAGCTGGCGTGGAAAAAGCTAAAGACCTGCTTCTGAACCAGGGGTAGGGTAATAACTTGTCAAGGCCTTTCGTGGTGTAGACACAAAAGTGTTCAAACTGTTTATATTTCTAGTGTAGCAGACATGAATTTAGGATTATCCTTACAAAAAAAAAAAAACAGGCTCTTGAATATTAATCTGGAAGACAAACATCTAAAGATGATTAGCGATTCTGTCTGTGTTTGTTGAAATTTTCTTCTAAAAGCTTATAAAAAATATTAGTCTTTGGTCCAAGTTTAGCTTTTCAAGGAAAACTAGAAGAAAAGCAGGAGCTAGAAAGAATTAACAGCAGAACCAAACAGACTTATGGTCCTGGTCACTTAGAGAAAACTTAATGTAAAGATAAGTCTGGATCTACATTTAAGACAAGTAAAAAAAAAATGCATAAATAATACAAAAGCATCCACTTGAGAAGTCTTTTCTCGAATGCCAGCCGACACGTGGGGCACTGCATGATAACGGTTGGCATGGTAAAAGCTTTGTGGTGTTCCGTCTTTTAAATCAACAAAGAAGCACCTGTTCTCTTCAGCAGAAAAGTCCTGCACTGGTCAGGTGTTAGATGTTCTCCAAGTTTCATGTCCAGGACCACAAGCAAGACAAGCAGCTCAACAAGAAGGGAGGAAATCAGTGCATTTGGAGGCAATTTGTTAAAAACAGCTTGAAAATCCTTTGATTTCTTTCTAAACCTGAATGCATCATGAATGAAATTTTTTTTTTTTCTTTTGTGATCAGATTGACACCCTGGCAGGAGGCTGTGCAGTTACTGCAGCCAGAGTGACTCAGCCGCAGAGCTCCAACATCTGCTTCCAGTTCCAAGTTCACATGGCCTCTCTGCATCAACAGTTCTAGGTAATGGAAGCCCAGCCGGGATCTTATGAAAACTGACTGATGAAGAACAGGGGGGAGTCAGGGTGTGTGTGTGTGTGTGTCACTGAACGTTCTCAATACTTTTCCAACAGTGCATGAGGGACGTCTGCCTTCTAGGAAAGAAAAATCCAATATGGCACCCACAGAGCAAGAGAGCGAGGGGAGAGGGTAGTGTTTTCGCTCTGAGCTGGGGCTTTATGAGGGTAGCTCTATGGCTTATGATCGCTGCAAGTCTTAATGTTTGCGGTGGTAGTAAGACTCACGCCAACATCTTGCTGAGGAGGGTGCGGTGCAGTTGGGGTTGGGTTTATTGCCATTTAGAGTAGTAAAGATGGATGCATGGTGGGAAGAGGGGGTGGGAGGTGCAACACCTCATCAGTAACGGCACTGGTTTTTGTGCATTTCCAAGCCTTCCTTGCACCATATCTCACGCTTTTCATTCTAAGAGCGGCTTCTTTAGCTGGAAGTCTCGAGGAAAGTTTGTTTTCATAGATGGGGATGGAAAACAGCCCTCTCTTTGTATTGGCTTCAGCACCGTTCCCAGTGGAGGAGGCCGAGGGTCTTCAGGACTGGGCCGGAACCTCCCCATGGGAAGGAGGATGGTGTGAGGGGTGTGGGTAAGAGTTCCTCTTAAACGGGGTGAGAGGGCAGCTCCAGAAGTGTGGGGGTCGGTGTCGGGGCGAGGTGACGGAAGCCCACGTCTGTGTTTTCGGTGAAAGTTATGGTGTCTGCATCCTGTCCTTTACCTCGTTGGCGATGGATGGCACTGAAATAGGCGTTCATGAGCTGCATGATCTCAGTCAGCTGTGGTGAAAAGAGAAGAGAGAAACAGAAACAGAGAGAGGTCAAACTGGTGGCAGTCTCAGTGTCTGGCACTGTCACAGGAGGGTGGAGACAGATTATGTCATCCAACTGATTGAAAAATGACCAGAAGCAGATGATGCAGATATTTAGCAATTATTGAGGACATGCAGTACACACCCCTTTATAGAAACATTGTGCAAATATATCATTAGCTTGACCAAGAGCTTTGCAAAAGTACTCATAACCCTTGAATTTGACTGTGTCTTGCCAATTTACAATCACAACGCTCAACGTGTTTTATTAAGACATTTATGTTAGATAACCACAAAGTAGTGCATAGTTATGAGGTAAAGTAAAAATAGCTATTTTGAGTTTTTCTTTCCAAATACAAATCTGAAGTGTGGCATGTATAATATAATTCCTCTAAATCTGATAACCCTAAAAAAATGAGTTCAATCAGAACTCACCAAATTATTTACAGAATGCAGATGTGAAGGTTGTTAGATGCTTTTTTTGAGAACATTGTAGGACTAAAAGCACTATTAACAACAAGGAACACAGCAGACAGGTCAGAAGAAAGTTATGAACAGGTTTGAAGTAAGATTAGGTGATTAAACAACACCTGAAGCTTTTAGCATCCCATACAGCACTGCTGCTTTACCAAGTGAAAGGTGGTTCTCAAACATTTTAACCCAGGGGACCTGAATACAAATGTATGCCACAGTTTTAAAATCCTTAATAAAAAAAACATAAGTGTAAAATTCTACATATCTGCATATATTAGTTTGAGAGATCATTGTGTCAATTTTTATCTGGCCTAAATAAACATGACCAATAAAAACTGATAAAACACTTTTTCTGTTAATGTTTCCTCTCAACAGAACAGCCAGCGGCCAACAATAATCCTTTCATTCAGCTGTTAAAATTGCACAGATAATCAAATCACCTTTATTTTCTGTGCCCAGTGGTGCAAACCCCTTCCTACTGATGTCACACCACTATAAGAACTTAGGTTCATAAAAGAAGAAGTCTTACTGAGCTGCACTCCAATTTGCCTGTGAGCCCAATAAATAAATAAAAGCCACTCTTGTGCCTCATGAGAGATCACAGAGGGAGTTTTTGTTCCGTGTGGGAAGATGCAAGGAAGTCAGTGTAGTGAAAGGCAAGATTTGTTCTCAACGGGGGGAGGGGGTGTCTCTTTGGAAGAGCATCCACAGTTCTGAGAAATGTTTAGCCTAATATTTTAATCTAACCACAGCAATAAAGCTCAGCCCCGACGGCATTTAATACCAGGAAGTTTAACTTGTGGTGGTCGCGACTGGTTAGACAGAGGCGGCAGGTTGTGTGCCCTCGATTCAGACTGAAATAACGAGGGTTTTTTAAGCCGGTCAAAGAGCTGGAAGGAAGAGAGGGCGGGTTATGGTGAGAAGACAGTGTGTCTCTTCTCTTATACAGCAGGACGCAACTTGCTGATAAGACTCCTTGTCTCTGCAAAGACTGCAATGAAGACGAATAGAGTTTATTACCCCGCGTTTGCAGACTTGGGATGTGTGTGCTACCTTACCTTGCTGGTTTCAAATATTAGATCCCGATCGCCAGCTGTGATCTTAAAGGTGTTGCTGTCAGATACACCATAAGAGCAAATCTGGCCATAAGGAAAGGACTCCAAAGCCTCTGATTCTCCTTGCTTGTAGATGGACACAGATGTAGCAGCGACACCCAGCCACAGTTTCTGAGAGAAATTCCCTTTTGAACTCTGCAAACACAAAAAAAAATATTATAAATGAGAGAATGGAGCAATTCCAGATGGGCAAACCACAAGAGACTCCCATCAAAATACTCACAATGTAAAAGTCCACTTCATAAAGAGTGCATCCAAAGCCTGACCACTGCCGTGCAATTGTGAGGTAGGCAGCCATACTGTCCCTGCTACTGTACCCAGTCAGACCCTTCCAACGCTCCAAGATGGCCGTCGTCACCACTGCCGCTTCCTCCTTCAGCCGGCTGCGCAGCCGCTTGTCGTTCTCCATCTTTTGCTTGTGAGCGACCGTGGCCGAGTGACTCCACAGCGTCCCAGCCAGGAGGCCTGTAGGGAACCGCTGCGTGGCGGGACAGTCCTGACCCCCCACCTGGCAGGGGGGTGCCGCCTGCGGGGCTGAGAGCGACATGAGGACCCGAGTTTCAAGCATATGACCGGGGAAAAGCTCGTCCAGAGGCGGGAAGGGGGCGTGCGTGCTGAAGTCTCCCGTGAGGCTCTGAAGCCTGAGGGCCGCCAGGGCAAGCAGGTCCTCCTCGCATGCTGGAAGCTGACCACGCACCACCATCTCATGGCACTTCAGCAGAAAGACCAAGAGAGACGAAAGGACACGGCTGTTACTAATAACCTGAATCCAATCATTTTTTGGCCCACCCTGTTTTATTGCACCTTATAAATCTTTTATAGAAGTCCTCAGGAAAAAAATGCTGTAATTAAGCTACCTTTCGACCCTACTGCACTGCAACCAGTGCTCTTAGTCATAGTTTTTATGCTTTCCATGTTCTCTCCTGCAATAACTGACTGTGACTCAATATTGTCCTGTAAAATCATGAATAATCCAATGGAATAGGAAGGATGACTTTCTCCAGGGCCATAAATCACATCTCTTCATTGATCACTTATTAAGGGGACAGCAGAAAGAGAAAATACTGTTTTGGTTTATTGCAACATTACCTGCTCAAAGAGGAATAAATACTCGATGCTATCCACTGATATGCTGTCAGCGTCCAACAGGCAGTAGAGCTTAAAACACAGTTTCCACTGAGATTGAGACTCCGACTCTTTGGTGGTGAAGCTGCGCAGAGGACAGAGGAAAAGGAGCAGTTAATGTAATACAGTTGTAAAGACAGCTTGTGTTTAGCCTATTTTCACACAATTTGGGAGCATCTGTTGTAGAAACAATAATCAAATTAATCTTTCCTAGTTTCTGCAACTAATTACACCAATCCTTCTTCCATGCAGGCTGCCAGGTTTGGCCAGAAAGAACAGAAAAGGTCATATGGACAAAAACACAAACAAGCATGTAGCATCTAATTAAAAGCAAAAATATTTATGGATATCAAAAGAAAAAAAAAGTCTAAAAGTAAATTTATCTTAAATTACTGAGCCCATTTCTCTCAGCCAAACTTCAGAATGAGAAAGACAAGAGCCCATGCCAGTAAAGTAAGATAAGAGAGTGTTGACCTTCATGCAACAGCAAACGGCTACAAAAATAACTGCTCACCTAAACGTCTAGATATTTACAGTCAGACTATTCAAGTTTAAAACAACCTGAACTGTGTCAACTACGCACTGTGAGCAAGACGGTTAGAACATCTTGGCAGCTCACTGATCTGCCACGAAGAGTCATCTTGAAGTCACCAACTTTCCACAACAACCATTAGACTCTCTCTGCAGGCCGACCAGTTAGATGAGAAAAATGTGCAAATTAAAAGTGTTTTCTTTCCTAACATCAAAAATGTACACTGGAGCTGTGTACTTTTGTCAAAGCAGACGAAAACCCAAAAACACAACAAATGATGCATATGTGGGAAAGTATTTTACATCCACTGTTAGGCATGGTGGAGGATCTGTTATGCTGTGGGCCATTTCAACTTAAAAAAAAAAAACAAAACAAGAAAATCTTAAGTGCACCAAATTGGTCAAACATCTCTCTGTATGCTCCAAGGTTGTAAAATATTATAGCTCAAGAGCTGTCCTACCGGTAAAAAGGAGTTGCAGAAACAGAAGTGGTGCCAGCAAGTAATATTCTAGAGATCTTGTATTGTATTGTAATACAGTCTGCCTCTGCATTAGAGGCATGGTTGGTGTCACAAATAGCTTTAATTTGTGACAGATTTTTGGCACTGCCTGATTTTTAAAACGTGAAAACCACAAATCCTTTTCATACCTGGTCAGGATGTCTGCGATAAGGGAGTTTCCTGCGACCGGCTGCTCCCACAGTGCATTCTGCTCATACAGTGCAAATGTATTTTTGCTGTCTTGAAGGCCCAGCTTCTCTTGCATCCTTCGGACCACCTGATGAAAGGCAGAGGAGAAGACCATTAGAAAAAAAAGTTTGAGGTTGTTGAGGCTCAGAATCCAAGGCGTCTTTCATAATTTGAACAAAAACACGTGCAAGAATCTGAAGAGCCTGAGAATGCCTTAAGCCATACAAGCTGAACACTGATAAATGCTCCCAAACCTCATTGGCAGTGGTGTGAGAGCTGATGTAGAGCTGGCAGGAGCCAGGGCCAGGGTAGTGCACGGTGCACAGCATCTCCTGTCGGTTCATCAGCATCTGGATCTCCTCCCATGATGGCACACACTCGCGGCATTTAGTTTTTTCCAAAGCCTCACTGATGAACGATGCATAGTTATCCATTTCAGATTCAGGACTTTGGCTCTGAATTCTGCAGGAAGCAGGAAAAGAATGAGAGAAAGAAAATATATTGCATCTGTGCTCATGAACTGTAAAGTAGAATCCATGGTTTAGAAAGAAAGGATTTGTTAATCCTGTTGATGTTAGGTCCAATCTTTGAACTTTTTATCTTTCCACCATCCCTTTGATTGAGCTTCATTCTTTACCTTTTCTCGTTCTGTAAATGTTAAAAGTAAATGAGGCGAGGAATGAGAAATGTTCTCACTCGACCTGTTAAAGACTTAAAAAAGTCAATATCACCCAATCCTTCAAATAAAAGCATAATGGAAAAGAAAACATGTTTGACTTTGGAAATAGGAAGAGGTGTTTCCGTTCCTGTGAGCGGCAGTGACCTGCTGCTTCCTCCCAGCGGACTGTCCAGGAGTGCTAGGTGAAGCTCAGTGCACGTTTAATTATTAAAAAAAAAGAAGGGGATGGGGAAGAGGTGCACAAATATCAAATGGAGTCTGAAGTCTGACACTCTGTGAGCAATAAAGGGCATGAAATATGGTGTAATGAAGCTAATAGTTCAACCCTGAGTAAACAGAGGGACGGGAAAGGAAGGAAACAATAATGCTCAAACATTCATCTAAAAATCGAAATGCATATTCAACTGAAAAATCTAAGAAACCGTTTGCCAGACACAGAAAAGCACACTCCTTTACTCCAATGTCCTGCCATCTCATAACTGTATGGCCACAGGGTGGGATTTGTCCTGCTGAAACATAATCAGGAATGTTCCGCTGAGCCTCTGCGATCCTTCCTTTACTCTCCTCTCTTTGGCCCTTTCTGCTGCTTCCTGCTTTCTTGCCCCCCTCCTGCTCTGCTTTCTTTCTCCTGGCCTATTCCTTCTGACAGCAGACATTCCCCGGGGGTTTCTCAGGGCACCGGGGGAGAGGAGGAGGAGTGGTTTTTGGGCCTGGTGCCCAGCTCCAGACTCAGCTCCTGCCCAGCTGCAGCCTCAGCGCTGATCCGCAGAGTGAGAAAGTGCGTGAGAGCGACAGCAAGACGTATCAAAACACAGAGCCAGCGAGTTACACAGTGTTATTATAAATTGCCATTGCATGCAACTGTTCCATTAGCTAGAGGGCAATTCCCAGTGTAGAAACATAGATAGAAAACGTTGGTGGTTTGATGGCACGGTGTTGGAAAGTCTAGAGCAGGAGGCTCAGCACTGCTAACAACTTGGATAAGCAGGCTTGACAGAGGGGCTAATTCAGACCTGCAAATCCAGCCTTCGAACACTGCATCTGTCCTCGGGAGCATGTTAACAATGTGGAGCATATCATGCTACTATATCTAAACTAGTGGTTAGGGACACTGGCGCCTGCTTTTTGTATAATGTCTAGACTCTGCAGTCTCCCTGCCACTACTGGTTCACCTTAATCTCCCAGCTAAACCTGTTCTGCATCGCAGGCTCCTCCCTGTAACCAGCAACCAACTTCTGGCCTGATGTCAACTTCAGTTTAACTCGGCTCAGTCCAATGTAAAATCTGACAACTGCACTGTTACTTCAAAATGTCAATGCCAAACGAAATGTTCCTTCTTCAAGAAAAACATTTGCACAAAGATGAGTCAGAGATAAAAAAGTGTATATATATATATATATATATATATATAGCTTATTTTTTGCTTGAAAATCCAACAAGAAAAAGATGACAGGTAGTTTCTGTACTTCAAGATTTACTTGATCTGTGTTTAACATGAGCAAATCCACTTCCGAGCATCTCTCAAGGTAAAAAAAAAAAGAAAAGAAGATCCTTAAAAACATGTTTTAGAAAAAAAGAGTACTGATGTCAGTCCTTGGTAAGGTTTAAAAAGTTTCAATTGAAAACTCTAAAATATTTGAAAAAAAAAAAAAGAATTTTGGCCTCAGTTTTTTCCAGTTGCATGTGTTTGGATTGTTTTGGATGCCAGAGCTCTGAATGACGTTATGGCAGAGTTGAGACCGTAACATTTTGAAAGGAAAACATTTTGTGCATTCAAACAAAATGAACATGTTCACAAACACAAGTGCCAATAACTATATTCTATATTCACACAGCAGCTATGTTGGATGGAAGACATGAAGATTGTTGGTGAGCTTCAATTGTCCCAGTCAAAAATCAGAGGACTTCAGAAGAATTCTAAATAGAAACTCGTAAAATCTGAGCAGAAAGAGACTCACTCGCCATTGTTTAAACCCATGAGACTGCACTGATTTAAAACCTCTGTCAGTAAGCTACAAGTCTGACTGTAGGCTTGCTAAAAGAGCAGAAAGTCTGACTGAAAAACAATTAATATGTTATGTTAATACTTGAACAGCAAAAAGGATAAAAGTCTAGCAAAATAAAAACATAAAACTATTAAATTTAGTGTGTTTATTTGAGATTGCAACTTTACTATTTCTGCAATATTTTAGATTTGATTGCTTTGCTCAAATCTAAAATATCATCGGTTATCAGATCACACTCAAAAAGCCAATGAAAATCTCATACTGCCAACAAGTTTCCTAATTTTTCCAAATGTATATACAAAAAGGTTTCTACTATATTCTAATAGAGTGCCTTTGCATAGCTCTTACCTTTTGAGGTGGAACCTCAAATATTTGAGCACGGTGGACCCTGGCAGGAAGGTGCAGCTCATGCAGGTGAGGAGCTGCCAGTAACGGAGATGCGCAGCGGTGTTCGGGGAAGGCGTGTGGCTGGTCTGCTTCACCAGCTGACAGTACACCTCGTCACGGAGGGGCCGCAGGTCCAGGCAGGTCTGCAGCACGCCCTGGATGATTGGAACCGGCTCCCGTGCCGACTCCAGCTGCTGCAGGCAGTTGAAGAGCTTCACCGCCTCCTCACGCACTGAGCCGTAGCCCTTCCCATTGTGGTCTGAAGAGATAAGATTGCATGGTACAAATACTAAAATAAAACTGTAGCTTTTGTCATATTGGACATGTAAATCTTCAGGTACTCACATGTGTGCTCCAGATTGCCGTAAGGGAAAGGAAGCAGAGGAGCATAGAGGGGGCCCTGGGTGTACTTAAGAATGGCGTTGTGTTGGTAGATGTGTTCCACCACCTCTGGGTTGAACTTATTCTCCTGTGTGCAAACAAAATAATTTGATATCATGTTCATTCTGTGTTCCTGAGATCAGGAGGGCTGTCAGCATCTGTGATTTAGTGCGTGCTTTCGTCCATCTGAGGTGACCAAGGTTGATCTGACCAGGGTCACAATTTGGCTCTGGCAGCTTTCAAAGTAACAGAAAGGTCAAGTGATGACCCAGCACAGCACAGCACACTTGCATGACTGACACGTTATACTTTATCCACCAGTGTCAATGGGTTGACTGTGCGTGCATTTCTGTCTTTCACTGTGTATGTGGATAGATGTCTTCCAGCAGTACAGATGGCTTCCACGCTACTGCCCCCGAACACCTGTTGCTCATTAGTAACGTTGCAACGGCTCTGGCTCTCTCCTGACTCTGCAACTACTCCAATTCCTCCATTTTCCCCCCATGTCTCTCTCTCCTCTCTCTCTACGTCTGCCTCACTGTGAAACGAGTCAGCTTTACCCTTCTTAGTGTGGCAAATTTAACAGTCTTCCGTTTGTACTGTGGGAATGAGATGCTGTTCTGTGGCAAAATCAGCAACTCAGCTATTTTTCACTAGAAATGCAGATAATATTGATAGAGTTAGATCTAGAAATGTTGCACTTTTTAACTAAGAATGTAAGAAAACACACTTGAGTCTTGCAAAATTTAGGCTAAATGCAGCAATAAATAACTTTTCCAGATTTTCCTGACACATTACAGCCACAAAATTCAAAGTATTATGTCAGAACCTGGTGAAAAGCTTTTGGAAAACATTTGAAAGCACACGTATTGTTTTCTTTCCACTTCACACCTATAGACAACTTTGTGTCAGTTTCAGACTGAAATGTGAAGAAGTGTTGCTGGTAGGTTTATGGTAAACAGATTTGGGGTTAATAAGTGATCGTCATGGTTTGAAACCAGTTTGGAAAATACTAAACATCATCTATCACAGACAAACACAAACCTAAGTCACTTCAAAGCTGCCAGTACTTTTAAGGAAAATGCTGATTGGTCCAACATACACAAATAAAGCTCTGGCAAAGCTTTTTGGATTCTTTCATTGTCCGAAAAGTAATTCAAACTTTCCATAATCAAAAGCGAATGTTTTTTAAGTGAATTTTCAAAATGGTGTTGATTATCTCAATTCTTTTAATCCAGTTGCACATTTTTTCTTTGCTGTGCTGGGTATGCTTCAAACCTTTTTCTAATTTAAGTTTGTCTTGTTTTTCTCTCATGCTCTGCTTTCAGTCTGCTAAACAGATAAAGAAAGAGACATTTAAAAAGCAGGTCTCTTCTTTTCTTCCAAATGTAAGCTCGGCCCCTTCTAGCTGAACACACAGTGACAGACACAGGCAAGTAGATTAACCATTTTCTTGAAGATTAGAGACTCTCGTTGAGAGATTACGGAGACAGGAGGCCAACCAAAGGGCTGCTTATCTGGACCCAAAGCTTCTTGCCTTGCCCTGTTCCACCTCCTTTGCCAAATCCTGCCCCTTTTCTAGCCCCGAAGGATGGACTGATGCAATAAATGTTTTCTTTCTGCCAAATGAGATTCCAAAACATCATTCTTTTTCAACTCCTCTCAAATTGCATTTAGAATGCACTGTATTCTTGGGAAAGTTATGGTTAAATACCTGGAAATACCTTTATCATTATGTCTTTGTATGCTGTCATAGTTTGATTACATGAAAAGAGTTCAATGAAAAGGAAAAAAAAAGGGTCTAGAGTAAACTTTAGATTCAAAGAATGTTGTGGCCGTGTGTTTTCCGTGATAACAAAGCGGCTTGAATAATGAGCAGTCCGATGGCTGTTTGTGTTTGGTGGCTCTTATCACAAGTAGTTGGCAGGAATTGTGTGCATACTTATGTATGTTTATTTTTTCTTTCATGTGGCCCACCTCAATGTCTCGAATCAAAAGTTGTGTCGGCGTTTCCACTGGAGATTTGGTATCAATGATTTTTTGGATGGCGCAGGCCCAGTGCACCGCTTCATTGAAATGCTTGGTGTACAGCCTGTAGCAGTGCTTCCGTCCATAAACAGTAATGCTCCAGTAACCTGAAAAAAATCAGAATAAATTACACAAGTCTAACCTGAACCTGATCTTTGAATGTAATTCAAGTTAAAAGGAAGTAGTCATACACGGCGACATCTAGACTTTCTCTTACTCTCTCCAACTTCCTCTCACTGATTCACTGAGGATTAAAGGTCAGACCTAGTGAAACCTCAAGCCACACCAAAACCAAACTAGAACAGTTTTTCTGCAGTCAATCTGGCCTTAGAGGAAGAAAAAAAAAACAGCAAAATAAATATATAAAAGGAAGGATCTGCTTCCTAGTTGCTCAAAGGAAGTATTAAATAGTCTTTTATTCTAGCAGCAGCTACATGGCTATTACGTGACTAAGCTTAGCTTCTAGATAAAGATACAAACCAAACATTAAGCAAAGATAATCTGAAGTAAAGCTTTCTTGCAACAGCTTATTGACAAATTTCTCAGTGACTTTCAGGAAACACAAATGTATTCAGTTGTGTTTGTGACACAGTCACTGTTGAAAGCACAACAAAGTCAAAAAAGTCCCTGGGTGTAATGATTTAGCAAGAAATATGTTTTGGCTTGGATTTGAAGAACAATTCAGGACGTTTCAAGTGGTTTTGGTTAAGTCAGCAGGACATAATCTCCTCCATTGAAGAACGTCCAGGCAGACAGACAGACTATGACAGCGACAAGAACAGGGTCATCCCAGTGTCACACAACAAAGAGTTGTCTTCTGAAATCTTTAATTCTTTTGTTTCGGTAATCTAAAAATGGGAAATGGTGGAAGAAGACTTCCAATTCAGACCTGAGTCATGTTTTTAGAAGAAAGTACACTGGGATTTCCCAAAAGTATGTGTATGTGTCACAGTAGGGAAGGAAAAGGTCTCAAGAGACATATCTTTGAAGACAATACAAGGGAAACCCCCATTTAAGAATTCCCAGTAAAGACTTGAAGCACGTCTGGCTAAACTTTACATACATTTTTGGGAAACCACGTAAGACTGCTTCTGCCCATCTCTGTGCACTTTCCGAGCATAAATATACGTTTCCAGAGCTCACCTGCTTCTTTGTAAGTTTGCTTGTCTGGCCAAATGACAGAGCAGAGACTGGTGAGAACCAGCGTGCCCAGTCTCCGAGCGCCTTTCTCTGGCCCAGTGTAGTAGTCGAGGGAATCCTGGCTCAAGACAAACCAGTACCGACGATGCTTTATCCAGCTACCACCAACCTCCCGTAAAAGCCAACCTTTTTCAACGAAAAAACAAAAAACACCAGCATTATTTGACAAATTCAAAACATACAAAAAAATATATATAAATAAATAAATCAGCAAAACAATTAGAAGATTTGCTTTCGGAATCAACAGTCCCTATTTGGGTTCGAGTTACAGATTTATATTTAATTACCACACAAAAAACAGAGCACATTTACAAAAATAAGCCAACACACAAATATTGACCAAGTCCTTATTATTTTTCCTGAAGCAGCTTTAGCTTCTTTAAATTTCCATAAATTCTAACTTGTTTAGGTAGAAACTGGACCTTGGTTCTCAAACCAAAATACAACTTTGACAAGTATTTGGCATCAACTTCTAATTGATTATTTGTTAGGTAAATACAAACAAATGACAGTTAATAACTTTAGAATTATTGACACATTGAAGCACATGTTGTTCAAATATGTTGCCTTTTGCTTCGTAGGATGTTACTCAAAAAGGATGTACACTGGAGAAATTTTTGAGGACTCTAAATGCAAACTGAAATGGACCTACAATGTTTACATTTGATGTTGGAACTTTCTAGCTCATATGTGTTTGAGTTTCAAATCAAGAAAAGTTACCATGTGTCACTATTTAGTAACTAGGCTAACTGTTATTAGCAAAGATAAACAGTAAAGTTAATACATTTCTCAGCATTTTATATACTGAAAAACTATATGTACAAAAGGGTGTGTACAAATCCTCAAAAATGGCAATGTGGCTATAGCAGCTACATTGGATTTTGAAGTCTGTATTGGTGAGAAACAAAATTTGTGCACTTTGAAGTTAAACTTTATGGGATTTTTATACATTTTGTACGATGGTTATAGCTTACAGTTAAAATCTTAAAAGTCAGTTTCTCAAAAAATTTGCTGAAATAAGTAACAGTTTAAATCAGAAATGTTATGTTATTGCCAACACAATTATGAGAAAGACTGCTGACACAAAGAGCTTTATGGAGGCATTTTAATAAAAAATTGAGTGGAAGAAAAACAAAAAGGGTAACAAAAAACAGGTGTGACCAAAGACACGATACACAGTTTGTAATTAATCTATTGAGTTTTACTTGTTGAACTGAATTGCTGAAATAAATCTAAGGAGAATACACATCTACAGTGCTTTAGTGCGTCTCATGAATTGACACATTAATTGGTACCTGTAACACACTGAAGTGCACTTAAACAGGATACTATATTAGTCTCCAGTTTGAGGAATTTCCTAAGGAGCTTCAGCTGTCCTCAATGCAACAAGTTTGAGAATATATCTTGGAGTCAAATGCTGACCAGGTGCAGATGATTTGACAGAAAATGACACAACCACAATTAATGCATCTGATGATGCTGATGTGCATTGTGTTCAATTTTTCAATGATATCCCAACTGAATAAGATGCATCCTTACTGTTGCTGTATGGTGTGGCGATACTTGGAACTGTTATAAAATGTTTCAAAACCACTGTACAAGTGGATAAAAATACGAGCAGCTGATAGAACAGACAGTAGTTGTTGCATGCAACCAACATAATTATCGCTTTTGAGGCGGACAGTGTGAGAAGGAGAGAGTGTTACTAGAACAGAGTGACGGAGAGAGAGACAAAGAGACTACAGCAGTCATGCTTGTAGACATGCCTTCTGTACTTGCCAGGCCCGTTTCTACAATGCAATACTGTTTTGCTCCCAAAGCTCTGAGGGTTTGTTGAGACTGCAGCAAAACAGAACCACTGTTCCCAAACAGTGAACTTCTCCTCCCTTCGGCTATGTGTGCAAATTGGTCTGAATAAGTATTTAATCTGAAAACATAAATAAGTAAGTTTGGAAGAGCCCAATTCAAACTCTGCCTGTAGACAGAGTTTACAGGCTGAAGAGTTCTGGTAGCGGTTATGGTGTTGATCAAAGTTGGAGAGCTGACAGTGAGAGCATGGAAAGCTGTCATAAGCCACTTGGTGTAGTTCTTGATGGTGTTTAGAAATGGCAGAGGAACAACTACATGGCGACTTCATATGAGAGCACATGGCTCATTCAGCCCATCTTGGGAATACTTTTAAAAGGCACAATTAGGAAGTAGACTTTCAGCCTCGAACCCTGTGAAAACTAATGACGCCACGATCAGCATCACAGCTTCCTCTGTGGTTAGCAAGCTGTGTGCCACCTGTCAGTCAGTGTTTATTTCACAGGCATCTTTCTTCCTTCTGTACTTGCTCTCTTCCTATTTCCTTTCATCTTTCCCATTTTCCCTCTCTCCCCACTCTGAACCTTGATCCAGAGTTTTCCCAGGCAATATAAAGATCCCACTGCTTTGGTGCTGATCAGAAATAAAAATCTATTGACAGATATACTAAGACTCCAATTTAAGGATACCTCCATATAAGAAATAAGTAATTTTGTATCTGTGTTAAAGCACCACAAATAGCTTAGATAAAAATAAAAAAAAATTTTTTATACCACATCAGATGAATTTCAAATCAAATCCTGGCAAGAAAAATGAAATCATGAGCTACTGCAGGGCTGAGCTTACCAACGGGCTGGATGTGGAATGGTGGAGACAGACAAGCTGTCTGGGCAAGAGCTAAGGAGAGAAGAGTACAACTGCCTTGCTGCCCCTCCCCTAGCCCCTCTCCCGTCACAGAGACAGGATGTCCCACAGATGCAGTACGTTTTGGCAACTTTAACCAGTGTGATTATAAAAAAAAGCAGAGAAAGGAAAAGACAGAAAGGGCAGAAGAGTCCCCAGACCCCCTGTGTATAACCCTCTCAGGCTCTTCCATCTGGATCCCATCTCTGTAGCCTGCTAATGTTTCCCCTGAGGGCCATGGCTCGCCCTTAATTTGTTTCATTTGTGACCCCTGACCTCTCAGTGCCCTGCCCCCTCAAACATAGATTGAGAAAACAATCTCTCTCTGTGTGTATTTCCTTTTTTTTCCTCCAAACCTCCTACTGCTTCCAGAATACTGGATTTTTGTTCCACAAATTTAACAACGCATAATGTTACTGTAAAAAAAACAGTCATGCATTCAAATTTGTTTGACTAAGATATTTATTGGATATCATAAGTAAAGATATCCAATACCAGTTTGTTTGCATTTAACTAAATTTAGGAAACATTTTGCTTTTTAAAAATAAAATTAGAAGAAAAACTTCCAACTTGCCCACAAACAGCTTAAATAAATTCCTATTGACCAACAATAATGTTTTTTAAATGACATTTGTAAGTTGCAAGACGAACTTTACATTCGTGCAAAAAAATCTTGCATAACCTTTTTCTTCTTTTGGATCAGACACATCCAGACTGCTAAGCTACAGTTTACTGGAGCATGCAAAGTCATGCATCATGTGAGGAGTAATTTTAACCATAAATCAACAAAGGTATGTCAATAAACCAATGTCAACATCTCTTTCTGTCACCACTCCATGGGTTTTACAATTTATCCTCACACCATCAGTCTATATCTGCATTGGCAGTGCCCTATTTTAGATGCTGGGGCAATATTCGCCCCACATTGCCTCTGGATGTCTAGCTGGGGAATAAAAAAGAGGTATAAACATCTACAGGAAGAAAAATGCACTAATGGAGGCATTCTTCAAATTTTTATTGAGAAAAATGAGCCAAATTATCAAAGAGGTGTCACTGAGGTGTCCCTCAGTGAAAATGTGTTTACCAGTGCAGTCTAATGATTTCTGATCATGATTGCTAGTTCAATGGTTGGAATTTCAAAAAATGACAAACGTTTTTATTTATTTATTTTTTCAAGTTATAACTGCAAGCTGCAACATATTATGTTACATGCAAAACCAAAAAGAAGGATTCAAGATAATCTCCATAAAACAGGGTTGGCACAGATCTAGACTTTGCCCAGGTTATTGCAAAAATGTGCTTTAATCTAAACTTAGCTGTATCTTTAAGGTTTAAATCCTTATGCATTTCATAATTATTTTCATTATCATCTCCCTTGTCCCAAAGTGTGATGCTGCCACTACCACAGTGGTGGTAACACATGTTTTCACACCTTATAGTCTGGTAGACTCGGTTTGCTAGAGTCTATTGCAAAATCGCAATATTTGTCAAATTATCGGGTTTGTGGCTCGCTTTATGTTGCACTCTGCCAAACAAACCGAACCCTTTTCAAAAACATTTTCACTGCTTCCTCCTTTCAGAGTGAAGAGATCTCCTACCCACTTGGCATCCATGTACAAATTTGAACCATTCTGGAGTTCACTTAAATTGAACCGAGACCTAAGTTTTTAGGTGGACCAGAATTCCTCCCTCCTCAAACGAACCATACTTTCTAAGCAAAGAGTTTGATTAAAGGGAACTAAACAGGGCTAGTGTGTATGCATGCATTCTAATTCTCTATTTACTAATTAAAGAACTTCTGAAGGCAAATGGCTACAAGTGATTTTATGTAGGGGGTGTAAGAAAAAAAGAGGGCTTGATTCATATACAAGTTTTCTGGACAAGGAAACGTTGCACATTTTTCTTCCTCTTCACAGCTAATGGTTTAATTAAACACAATGATGTTTGCATCTCCAAAGTGACACAATGCCTAAAAGTTCAAGGGGTGTGCATACTTTTACAAGAAAATGTTTTAAAGAAAACCCAACAGTGAAAGGTGCACAGAGAGGAGGGCAAGTCAGAGATGCATGGCAACTGCAGTCAGAATTAGGCAATCTGCTTGTGTCACTATTCCAAACAGGACACAACACATCCAAGCAACAGCATTTTACTGCTCCCTCTCAGCAGAGGTAAAAGAGAAAACATACTTGTACAAAAATATCTCATGAGATCATTAATCAAAAGTGGTAGACATGAAGACAAGAGCACTGACACCAGTAGTTCTCATAACATGAACACAAGAAGAGCGGCAAAGACAACAGACGGTTTGGATCATGAAATATCTTCTACAATAAAGTACAAGAAGAATCCTAACCTAGCACATTTAGGTGTTTCTACCATTTAGGGTTGCAGGATTTTATCTTGTGAAATATAAAAAGGAAATATGTGGTTGGAATTCATCAAAACATCCAGGAGTTTTTGTCTGTAGTTTTGTCTGTCAGAAATTGACTTATTATCAACGTAATACAAAGAAGATACATGAAGGATTTTATTATGATGCCACTTGAACACTGTGTATTTTATAACAACAACTAAATGCACTGTTGATGATTAAAGAGTAAAGTAATAACTTCAGACTCACCTTTTACTATCAGATCTGGTTCTTCATCCACCCCCATCCCATACTCCTCATTGGTTGGTTTCTTCATTTTTACAGGTGACTGAGAGACAGCGTGCCTGTGCAGAAGAGCAGAAAGAAAATGTAAATAACCCAGCTTCCCTCTCAACTCAAGCCTTCCTCTAAAATTGGCCGGCTACTGTAACTGGCTCAGAGAGACACTGCTGGCTGTGAGACCCAACTTCCAATCACTATGCCACTCTCTGCCAACTCAAAAGCCTGTCACATACTCTTAAGTGGAGAAGGTCAGACAGGGGGGATTGAAAGAAGTGCCACAAATATCCGGTGTCTCGTCTTTTCCCTTCTCGTCCTCTCGTCTCCCACACCACCACCACTCTCAGCACGCAATCCTGTGAACGCACATTGATACACGGCAAGCCACTGTGGACAGCTTGAGTCTCTTTTATCACTTTGGCTGGCGAGCCAAACAGGCGACTGAAAATAAACGTGACAGGGCGACGCCGGGCTGACTCCCAGCCAGCCAGCTTGCTCCGGTCAGAGGAAGGCAAAAGGGTCAAGAGGTCACATCTTGGATAGTTGAAAGCATAAACATCAAAAACATCTGTAAATCTGCTGAATGGCTGGTCTTTCTGTTGCTGATCTTCCAACCATCAAGCAACTACCACAGATAGATTTTAACTTTAGCATCTGGTCTGAAGTTGGCTGGTGAAAAGTTCCTCCTCCCCACCCCCCCTTCATAAAAGCTCTAAAGTACATTTTCCAGATTTTTTCTGGAAAATATCTGGAGATGCATCATCACAAGAGTCCCAGTTTTGATGACTGTGTGGAAATTTGAGGACAAAGTCTTTGTAAAGTTAGGTTTCATTATCAGTTTTATCACAGACCAAGAAATGAAACATAGCAGGACAAGCTTTTAATACAGCAATGTGGTAGTTTTTGTTGTGTTTTTTTTTTTCAATGACATCTGGACATTTGTAGAAACAGTTGAAATCTCTAATTCACAGAAAAACTTTAACTGGATTATCACAGATTAAAATATAAATCCTTCGTATAAGAGTTAACCTTAAATTTTGTAAAAGTCCAAAACTGGAATTTCATTGTTTGGCCTCTTAACTAAACACATTTCAAAAAGCTTGGGTCCAGTTAGAAACTCAGACATAGTATGACCTTAGGGTCATACTGCTTTTTGATTGAGTATATGTCTGGTTGATGGTGACTAAAATCCAAAACGATCAGTGAATTAGAAAGGAACGAGCAGTTTTTATGTGGTAAACTAAAGACAAAGATTCACATTTAAATATAAAACAGGAAAAATGTTTCAGGATTTTTAGAAAATCTGTATATATTGCATAGTTTTCAAGACTGAATAGGAACCTTGGAGTTACTTAAGAATAAGGCCTGTTTTTAATCTATTAGACGGCTAAGAGGTTTTATCTTTCCTCGTTTATTTATCTAATAAGTTGTTTATTTTCTCAATTTCCTGGGCCGAAATGTGAGGTTCAAGACTTCCTGTCCTCCCCCCTCTGACTGGCTCTTGGGATTACTGATGAGACAAATAAATTGGGCCCTGCTTCCCAGAGTTATTGGCCTCCGGTCACCCAAGCCTTCATCGGCTGATTTATGCCATTATAGATCAGATAAGTGCAGAGGGTTCCTCCACACAGGAGGCAGTAGTAATCAATAAGTCCCAATATAGCCTTATCTGGTTAGACTCATCTTACTGAAGACTGCTGAAGTCATTTCTCAAATGATTCCCAAAGATGTCTCTTTGTGATGTTTAATTTGCAGATGGATGTTCCAGTACAGAGTCTAATGTTCAGATGGTAAAACATATAAAGCCACAAAATGTTCCTTTATACGTGAGGAAATTGGTATTCATGACACAAAGCAGAACCGAGAGAGATTAGGGGGTTGGTCATCTCAGGTCATATGGTATCGCTACACTAGTTTCTCTGATGCAGTGGTGAACTGCTAGCTATCCTTAAATGCATTAAAATAAACATATAAATGTGACGACATCTCTTATTTTGGGTTGTTTATGAGCCCTGTTGCATAGCAGAGAAAGCCAGACAGCTCAAACTGGATGCAGACAGTATGTATAGAAACGCTCCCTGAGGGGAGCTTGTGGTCTGGCATTCAAAGTGCCCATGTGAAAGCTGAATCTCTTGACTGGTGTTTGCTACTGTTGCAATGCCAAAATAGCAATTTAGCATACACAAATAAACTAATTTACTGAGGAGAAGCCTCTGGAGATGCATCATCACGAGAGTGCCAGAAACTTTTGAGCTATCAAGTAACTAATTAAGGGTGAGTTTAAAGAAGGTAAAACCTAAATGACTGTCATGCTGGAGTTTCAAGCAGAAATAAGTAACGTAAAGTAACAGGAAATGAACAGATTAATCTGCACCAATATGCGATGGCAAAAGCTCTTTGCCTACTAGTCCTACTAACTTACAACCCTCACCTCTACTTAGACTGCTTGTCAATGTGGAAAATCAGCTAAGTACCAAAAATTGCTGTTTTTGTTGTCAGCATTGATACTTCGCAGACAGGAGCCATTCAATGTTATAAAGATAAACTCATTTGTGATCGTTTCCTTACAAAATACACTGAAAATGAGACAAATAACATTCAAACATTTCAAAAAGAAATGAAGTTGCATTACATCATTGTACCTCATCGGTACAATGATGAAAATCAGATAACACTTTAAAAGTGTAGCTATTCTAGGTGCTGCTTTAATAAAACTTTGCAACAAAAGTTTGTAAATAGGTTTTGTGAGTAATCTACATCAATGAAAAGGTTTTTGCAGATTTCATTTTTGAGCATGCATGTTTCAGCTCCCACAAATTTGACAAACACAGACTTCAGTTTTCATGTGATAATTTCACCAATTGGATATAAAGCTTTCTAATCAAATTAGTCCTATATCCGATTATAGTCATTATAATTGCCCCATTTGTCACCAGGGCAAAAGATATTGACAGTCTTTAAAGGGTCACAAGGAAATTTCTAAGGCATGGAGACACCAGCAAGAGAGAGTCAATATCCACAAATGGAGAAACTATTGAGCAGTGGTAGACTTACCCTATGTGAAGTGGTAAGTCTACCAAAATTGCCATCGGAACAGACTGCCAACTAATCCAGGAGGTCACAAAAGAACCCAGAATAATATCTCGAGCCCTGCAAAGCCTAACTTGCCTCTGTTATAGTCACTACTAAAGATTCAATTGTAACAAACCAAACCAAACAAAAACTCCATCCATAGGAGAGAACCACATGGATGGAGTGTTTATTATTAATCAATATTCTTGAATAGTCTTTACTCAAGATTACTGAATCTTGAATAAAGCCTCTATTCAAGATTCACTTACAACAAACCAAACATAAACTACATCCACGGGAGAGAACCAAGGTGGAAACCACTACCGAGCAGAAAGAACACTTTTACAGTTATCCACCTGGATGATCTCAAACCATTTTGGAAAAATATTTCGTGGCCTTATGACTAAAGCTGCACTATTTGGGAGATGTACTTCTGGTTACATCCATTGATAACATTTAAAAAGCATTTCAGAAAAAATACAATACCCACAGTCAAAAATGGTGGTAATGTGATGGTTTGGGACTGCTTCGCCAATGTGACAGACGCCATGCTAAAACAAAGAAGGGCCAAAATCCCTCCACAACATACAAACAGTTGTGGTCAAGATGGGCAATACAACTATGAGGTTTATGAGGCAATTACTATTTCACATTGCTCAAGGTTTATCTGTATAGCTTAGCTGGTTTTCCAGACCAGAGCAAGCAATGAATGCTTAGACTAGTTAGTATTGTCATTGATGATAGCTATGCATCATCAGTGGCATGGCCATCACAGTTTTGTCTTAAGTAAAACAAAACTGTTTCACCTAATATGACAACTTAATATCACATTTGGATATTGAGCACTGCATACATGTGCCTGATTGACAGAGCTAAGACCCTGATCCTGGCTCTGACTGGTTGCTTCTGACTGGGCATGATGCATTTCTGCAGATGCCTGTAGGACCACTGGGAAAAGGCAGAGGAGCTAGCTTTTTTCACAAATTATCTGCCTCATGTTATATTGTCTGGAAAAAACAATTTTGTTTATACTGTAATATATAAATAAATCAAATGACCTTCCTTCTATCCCCATCGCATCTTATTCTGATATTAAAGTTTATTTCAGCATCTGAAAAATACAAGTGTGAAAAATGTAAAGCAGAAGAAATCTGAAAGTGAGCAAATACTTTTCACAGCACTATACAGCATGTAATAAAAAACAGTCCTAAAGCGTAGAGCGAGTGTTTGAGCATAATTGATGCGGGGGCTTTGCATCTCCACAGCTGTCCAACAGCCCTACTACCCCAATCTAACCTCCAACATCTACTGCTACCACCCCCACATTCCCAGAAGCTCCAGCAGAGGCTGTGGTGATGAGGCCTTTAGCAGGCAACTTCCTGTGGAGTACAGGAAACAATTTGATATGGGGATTAGGCAGCATGGAGAATAGAGTGAGCACACATCTACAGACAGCTTATTTCTCTCATCTCCTCCTGCTAACTCTTCCCTGCAGGTATAAATGAACTTAACAAGGAAATTGTTATTTTATTGTATCACCACAATAAAACTCGAAATATGTTAAAAATTATAGCTGTGTGGTTCGAGATCAGCACTCGTAATGGTTGTACTTTGAGAGACGCCAACATGTTTGTTGTTATGCTACAGCAGAAGGCTGTGCAACAATGAAAATGACCGTTTAAGAAAGTGAACTAGAAAATGTTGGCATACAGGATCCCTGAGATTAAATCAGATGACTAAATAAACTCCTAGCGGTTCCACCAGTTTAATAACACAGGTCAACCAAAATGAATCGCTTATATTTGTTTAAACTCACAAAATGAAACAAGATCAGTGAAACAAATGCACCCTGAAGAAACTTGCAGGTGTGCTTAATTATATCTGGCAACCATCAGGTTCAGTTGGAACAAGATTTACTGGACGTTCTGGAAACTTGAATGCTGTTTCATGTTTATTGATTTAACAATTTCAGATGGTGTGTGCATACATACTG